CCCCCCCTCCTCGTCCGCTGCCTCGGGTCAGGACAAGACGCCCGCCTTGCCTCGCCTCGCCTCGCATCAAGAGGCGCGCAAATCGTGGTGGCCGTTTTTGGCATGTGCCATGCCTCGAACGGCCGGTCCTCCCTTCATCGCCAGTCGTGCGAACACGGTGCTCAGCCAGTCAGTCAGTCAGTCATGCGCCGCTGGTCCTGTCCCGTCTCTCGTCCCGTCTCCCCCGTCCCTAGCTGGCCATGCGAGAAACCTCGACCGTTCGGAGCGAGCCAGAGGCACGAGACACGTTCAACAGCCGCCGGTAACCATTGGTAAACTGACGGCGGTACTGTATCGCTGGGTCGTAATATGCCTGTGGCAGGTCCCGCGTCATGCCTTTGGCTTATACACCATGCATGTGGGTGGCGCCTCATGGATGCACCTTGGACCTCCGCAGCATTGCTCGGTTTTCCCTCGCAGGCCATCTCATGACCTGATCCTCCAGCGCCGCCCCAAAGCCCCAGTCGCCCGCGGCTGGGCCCTTCTGCGACTGCGGTCCAGAACCGACTGCATGGGGAAGGTTCGCAGATGCATTGTTCCCTCGCTCTCCTCTCGGCCCAATTGAGACCATCAATGCAGGGCTACGCGCTAGACTCGCCAATGGGGAGCGTGGTGGGATGCGCCTAGGGAAGGCCAGCTATTGTTTGCTCCCAGCTCACCGTCTGGGGGCTCACAATGGGATCCCTGGAGGCGGCTTGGCTGGTCATCGGTCATCGGCCGTTGGGGCATGGCTGCTTGGCTCCTTGGCTGCTGCTTGGCTGGGACAGTCGTCATCGGTGACGGTGATGCATCATCGTGTACGAGATGCTTGCCGATATCATCGGAGCGCAAATCGTGGGCAATAGACTGGCGACATGTGGGCGTTGTGGACGCCTAGGCAACCTGTCGCGCACCCACGTTGCGCCCTTGATGGCTCACAGTCACCGCTACAGATCACGATGCAGACACCTCGCCTTGCATGCTGTTCAATTTTTTGGCCGCCTCGTGCGTGCTCGGCTCGGACTAGTCAACTGTCTATTCCCCCAACAGACCGTCTCCAGACAATTCCCGTGGGAGCCTCCTCGGCTTTCCGCAACAATGCCACCGTCCGGGCCGAGTTCGTCCGTGACGCGGCTTTCAGCGTGTGAAAGACAAAAAGGTGCTGTCGAGCACGCCGCGCGACATCTGATCCTTTTAACTCCAATAAGCGAGACATACCCATGCAATCTCGACATCGTCGTCGGCGCCTTTTCTTTGTCTTGCTCGGCGTGCCAATGTGCTCCAACCCCGCAGACAACAAACAACAGAGTACAGGATGAGAAGAAGAGATAGTGACCGTGCGTCGTCTAGCAGGTTAGTGTACAGGCACGGCGTGCCGTCGTGGTGGTGGCGGGGTTCCTGGCCCGCTGGATCTGTGTGTCATGCTGTGCTTGCATGATGCTCTTGGCGTCTCCGTGGGCCAGGCACCTCAGACCTCCCACTCCTCCTCGGCCTCCTCAGCGCCGTCGTCGTTGGTCGTCAGGGCAGAGAACGAGCCGCCAAAGTTCTGCGAGGGTGTGGGCTTGGCCGCCTTGGAAGCACCGCTCGTGGGCTGCTGGGGCTGGGCGGCAGGGCGAGGCTGGGCCTTTTCGTCGGCCGACGACACCGAAGACGCCTTCTTGGACTTCTTGGAGGCCTTGGTCTGAACGGTGCTCCACTCGTCGGCGTCCTGCTTGAGCATCTCCATCTGCTCCTCCTCCGAGGGGAGCGAGGACATCCAGGAGCCTTCGGACTTGGCAGCGGCGGGCTTGACCGTCGTCGTCGCCGGCTTCTCCTCGAAAGTGTCGAGGGGTTGGTGCAGGACCGCGGCGTCGGGGGTCTTGCCGGCGCTGTTGCCGTTCGGCGCACCCTGAGCCCATGCCGAGTTCTTGCTCTGGGCGGCCTGGAACTGGGAGCCATCCTTGGCGGCCCGGCCTTCGGCGATGCGGGCAGCCCGGCGCTGCTTCTCCTCGAGAGCCTTGCGGTCCTTCTCGGCCTCGTCGCGGGCGGCCTTGGCAGCCTCGGCCTTCTTGCGGTTCTGACGCTGCTTCTTGGTCTCGACCTTCTCGGGGGCCTTGGCGGCCTTCTTCTTCTGCTCCTGCTTGCCGGAGTCGGTGATGCGGAGGACCGAGGGGCCGGCAGGGGCCGGCTCGAGCATGTCGCTGACGCCGCTGGCGTCGACGGGGCTGGTCTCGGGGGACGTCGCGGGGGACTGATCGTCGTCGGCGTCGGCGCTGGTGGTCGAGAGGGGGGCGACGGGCTTGTCCGCAGCCGCCTTGTCTGCAGCCGCCTTGTCCGTGATTTGGTTGGCGCGAGACTGCTTGACAGACTTCTCTCGCTGCTTAGAGCCGTCCGACTTGGACGCAAACTTGGTGCCCTCCTTGGCCTTGGCCAGCTGTCGGGCGAATTCGCGATTGTCGACCTCATCCTTGGCCGAGTCGGCGGCCGCGGCCGCTGCGTAGCTCACGGGGGCTGGCTTGGGCTCCTCAGCAGCGTTGATGCGAGACTTGGCCTTGGCGGCTTCCTGAGCCTCCGAGGCGAAGCTTTCCATCCGCTGCTTCTTCTTCCTGTCCTCCTTGCGCGGTTCTTGATGCGTCGTCTTGACGGTCCGCGGTGCGGCGGCGGCACCTCTCCGGCCCGCATTTTTTGTCGAGACCTGGTAAACAACGTACCCGAGACCGATCAAAGTGGCGTAGCCACCGATGGTGTACAGGTAGTTCATGCTCGCGTCGGCCATGGTGGCGGATGGTTCGACGGCGACGGCGACGGCGACGGCAACAGCGACGGGGGGCCGCGGTCTGAGGCGGCAGACGAGGTCCGAGGGCCCTTGGAGGCCGGATCAGGCAGGGAGGCTTGGAGCCTGTGCTGAGCAGCTGCAGCAGCAAACACGAAACGCCGCAGGGTGTGTGCAGAGCGCCGGGACGATGCAGGCAGGATGAAGGTGGACGGCAATGGCGGACAGGAGAGAGAGGCGCACGTCGAGCGATGAGCGTTCAGAGGCGGCTCTCGTGATTTGGAGCAATCGAGTGGCCAGCCTGTCTTCAACTGGGGCCCTTGTCTGCGGTACGCACGGTGGTTCGTCAACTGGGGCTGGGACGCTGGGTCGATGGCGGCGAGGTACAGGCGGCTTGTACCTTGGCCGGGGTGGGGTAAAATAAGGCAAGGGCAAAAGGGGGGCGCGGCCGCCAGGAAGCGATGGGCGGCCCTGGCAAGGTGGTACGAGGATGAAAGGAAATCTTGGGTTCGGAGGCGATTGGGTTTGCTCGCGAGACAAGGTAGGTGCTGGGTAGATGATGGCGTGTGCTGTAGAGGGATGATTTGGTGCAGAGGTTGAATGCGTGGTGAGGCGGCGCCTCCTTATATTGCCGCGACAGAACAAAGAGGGACGGAACCTAACAGTGCTGTGCAATTGTGGTTCAGTGGATGGATGGAAGGTTGTGCTGGCGGTTCTGGTGCGTCCGCGGCGGTGGTGAGGCGATTCAGCGGTCGACGCCTGACAGCTACAGGTCCCCAGCGGTCAGCGATGCTTCCACCAAGGTTCGAACACCTCCATAGAGAGAGCCCGGGGGCGACACAGCACTCCAAGCGAGCAGCGAGGAGCCCTGGCCAGGGTTCAGTCCCCTCCAGCGCACTCCCGTCACACCTCGTCAGCTCACCTAGCAGTCAGTCAAACGCCGGCCGGAGCTGCAGTGCAATCCCCGCAGCCCGTCTCGCACCCTGGCAAGCCTGGCACCTGGCGCTGGTGCAGTGGGGAATCCTTGGAAGCGCGAGCCCCGACCCCTAGACCGACGGGCGCTAAGGACCCGGGTCGCACACGCGCGCACAGCGCACACCGAGCGGCGAAACAGGCGCCGCGGCGGCCTCTCTTGGGGAGCGAGCGAGCGAACGACGGCGGGGCCAATTTCAGGGCCCGTGAATGGCAATTTGCCGGGCTGTGATGAGAGAACCTTGGCGTTGCTAGCTGGCCCGTCGTCTCGCAGAGTCGATGGGTGGTTTGTTCGCGGGTGGTGTTTTGGTTGTGCGTGGTTGTGAGAAAGGGAGAAGCTGTGCGTGTCTTTTTCCTCTGGCTTCTTTTGTTCGGTTTTTATACTTCCCGCTTCGAAGGGTACCTCGCAGCTTGCATTCTCGTGGCCCTGTCAGGGCCCGCGACTCAGATTCACTGCACCCGTGAGTGACGCGCATATGCAGTTCGCGCCGCAGGGCTTCGAGACCTGCTTCCGTCTGATCGGGGCACGTGACGCGATCGTGGTCTTGGATGTAGCTACCCTGTACGATGAACGCTCGTGCTTTGGACGCGACTGTGAAGGCGCTGAGGAAGGGCAATGGCGCTCAATGGCATGCTTGAGCAGCCTGGTTGACGGCCGGTCCGCGGTAGAGCATGGACTGTGGCATTCTGTTGCGTTATCTGAGCGGGATGCAATAGTTGCACGTGGCGGTGGTTGGCGGATTGTGACTTTGGTGCGCCGCATCGATCTGAGGCAGGCTCTCGCGGTGGGTAGAGTTCGGCATCAGAGCACATCAATTGCGTACATATCACTTTTCGCGATGCAGTCAAAGTTCAGCGGAACGTCGAACTCAGAATATCAACCATGCAATAATCGTGGAATCATCCATTACCCCGTATACGAGGACCAGGGCACCACTGTCGAGTGTCGACGATTCCGCCCATCCCACCCAAGCGGCACCAGCCGTCGTCAGCGCTACCGCATCGAGAAGCCCGTCCATTACGGCAATCTTGCCGCCCTCGGGCGCAGCCAACAGCAGACACCCATCCACCATCCACCACCACAACCACCACCCATGGCTTCGATTACCCACTGCAGACTCGGAGAAGGGGCGCCCGGCAACGCATGTCGAATCGGCCATCTACGTATCGTGTAATCCCATGGGTCGCGTCCCGCCCACCCAACGACGGCGGCCCTTCGTGACGGGAAACGCGAGACGCGCCGGAGTCGGCCGAGGCGGGCACCGCCGTGGAGTGGCCCTCGAGGTATGGATGCCAGTAAGTTGCTGGACTACTCGTGCACCACATGTATCGAGGGCGCCTGTAGGATGATGCGCCGTTAGGTAGCTGGAGCCCATAGGGCGACGACTCTGGGGCGGTCGCGCCGCGGATCCCACCCCACCTTCTGTCTGCTCGCCGCACCCAAGGAGGGGCAGGCCAACTCCACGTCGTCAGTCAGGACCGCCCGCCACACCACCGTGACTTTTCTCGCGTCCCTGGCGCTCGCTTTCATGGCAACCTAGCTCACCTGTATATATCCTTATCGTCTCCTGCGCCGCTGTTGCCTTCTGTAACTTAGTCTGCCTCACCACAAACCCCCGCGGCATCCTTCATCAGTCTTCCTCGGCCATCCACGCGACATACTATCCTCACGATGGCGCCGCACAAGATCATCATCGACACCGACCCAGGCAAGCAATCTTCCTTCGCCACTCATGGAATGTAGGACCGGCGCGGCTAACGTGGCCCTCCCAGGTGTCGACGACATCATGGCCATGCTGCTCGCCCTCAGCGCCTCCCCCGAGGAGCTCGAGGTGGCCATGATTTCAGTCACATACGGCAACGTGCCCCTGCAAAGGTACATACACAGCACCGTCCCGATTCTATGCGTTTGCGGTGACCATTCTTGACTAACCAGCCCGCTCTCTGCAGCTGCCTGCGCAACGTCGTCGCCATGTTCCACGTCCTGGAGAAGGAGCTCGCGTGGCGGAAGGAGACTGGCCGCCCCGAGGGCTACGGCGCCATGAAGGCCTCCAAGCCCGTCGTCGCCGTCGGCCCGGAGCATCCCCTCGAGGACGAGTGCCTCATGGCTGATTACTTCCGTACGTCTCACCACTGCGTACCTGCATGGGCATGCCGTCACGTGTACAGTGTGTCGTTGAAGCGGCTGCTAACTTGCGAGCAGACGGCGAGGACGGCCTGCACGATGTACACAAGGTTCATCCCCATCTCAGCCCCGCCGATACCTGGGGTTCCCTCTTCAAGGACGATGAGGCGTCCAGTGATAACATCACCGCCTCGCCCCTCTTCACACCCTCCAAGAAGCCTGCCCACAAGGAGATCCTCCGCATCCTCCGCGAGAACCCCATCGACACCGTCTCCGTCCTCGCCGTCGGACCCCTGACCAACGTGGCCCTCGCCGCCGCCGAGGACCCCGAGGCCTTCCTCCGCATCAAGGAGCTCGTCGTCATGGGCGGCGCCGTCAATGTCGAGGGCAACGTCACGCCCTGTGCCGAGTTCAACTGCTACGCCGATGCCGTCGCCGCTGCCCGCGTCTATGCCCTCACGTCCTTCAACCCGGCGTCGACGATGCCTCCCCTGCCCGCCAAGCTGTCGACCCTGCCGCCGTACCCGCCCAAGCTGTCTCGCCGGCTGAAGCTCACCATCGCTCCTCTGGACATCACCACCCCGCACCTCATCACCAAGAGCTTCTTTGCCGACAAGATCCAGCCCCACATTGACGCTGGGAGCCCCCTGGCCGTGTGGACGTCGCACTTCATCAAGGGGGCGTTCAGCAAGATCGAGTCGATGGAGGGCGACGGCAACGAGCCGGGCCTGTCCCTGCACGACCCGCTCACTGTATGGTACATGCTGACCCACGACGATCCTCAGTGGAAGTTCCCGGCAAAGCTCGAGGATATCCGTATCGAGACGTCAGGCCAGTGGACGCGCGGTATGCACGTCGTCGACAACCGCCTGAGGGCCAAGCCCGCAGAGGCGGCGGCGGCTGTTTCGGAGGATCCCCGGGAGGACCCCAAGGTCGTCACTATCGACGATGTCCCCGGCGACACCATGGGGTGGATGAGCGTCCTCAAGGGCAACAACGTCGGCCGCCTCATCGCCTCACCAGGCGAGGACCTCTTCAAGGAAGTGTGGATGCAGCGTGTCTTTGCGTAATCGTAGATGTATGGCTTCCTTTGAAAGGGGGGACAGCGTCAGCATAATGTAAAGCTATGACAATTGTGACCGCGGGAGGCGTCTATCCCACTCATGTCGTACCTAGATATACTTAACCAAAATTCGCCAAATCAGCCACCCTCTGAGTACTCCAAACTCCGTGACCATGCCAAAAACATTATTCGCTTCTTCTCGTGCGCGATCCTCGCGTGCAAGCCCATTTGCCAATCAGCTGGCGCACTGCCCGGGCAATCACGCGCAGCGCAGGTCGACCATGGCTACCACGGCTCAGATGTGCTTGACGCCTCCGATCGTGGCCCCTTTCACTTCTGTCCAGTTGATGCTGTCGTCGAGCTTCTCGTCCACCAAGCCGACGGAGCACACGCCATCACCGCGCACCAGGTACAGCCCCAGGGGCACCTCGACGGAAGGCTCCGGGTCGTCGGGCTCGCGGATGATTCTCTCGACGGCGTCGTTGAGCACCTGCAAAAAGCAATCATGCGTTAGCAAACAAAAACAACAGCAACACGGTGCCGGATGGTGGTGCAGGAAAGGAGTGCCGAGCGGCGGGCAGCGGGCAGCGGGCGTGTGCCATACCAGGTTGGTCGAGTTATCGGCCGCCGTGAGTGTGCCCACGAGGACCCGCGAGTCGGCCGTCACGATCAGCACCTTTTCTGCAAAGCGACGCGCGCGGCGTGGTTAGCTTCTCAGTGCCCAATGCCTCAAGTGGACGGCCGGCGCGCTGTGAGTGCGGATTTGCTCACTGTTCAGGTACCCTCCGAGGGTCGCCATGGCGGCTGTGCTGTCGACGACGACGGGAGGGGGCAAAGCGTGCGCGGTGTCGTCGCGTGGCGAGGTCGTCGCTCGGCGTGGGCAGAGTCGTGGGCGGAGGCTGGACGAGAGGTGCTGGAGGTGTGAGTGGTGGTGGTGGTGATGGTGGTGGTGCTGCTTGTGGTGAAGCAGCTGGGGTGGACTCCCGGAACTGGGGAAACTTTCAGCAGCGGAACAGCTGGGACCGGGACGGGAGCTCTCTGAGGTGTGGAGGGGACGCCAGCCAGCGGTGGGACTGGCTCCTCAGACAGTGGACAGCAGCAGCAGCACCACAGGCGGCACAGGCGGCACAGGCGTGCTAGGCCGGTTTAGGGCACCACCTCAAACGGAGCTGCAAATTCACCAAACCGCGAGCTCAGGTTCACCAAATGGCAGCACAGCGACTGGGGAGGCTCGCTTGGCTTGACGCGCGAAGATTTATAGCTACGAAGATGTCTCTGCAGACATTTCTTTCCTGTATCGTCTGTGGGATCGGCACGTTCTCAGGACCAGACAGCTCCAGCTCCGCCCTCCACGTGCTTCCTCGAGAGCTTCCAAAATTTCTTCACGAGCGTCTTCGTGGCTGACGCTGCCTGGCGACGCTTCACTTCCCTGCTTTCTGATGGGCATTGAGCAGACGAACGGCGGCGGCAGCCGAGCATGACGGTGGCTTGCGTGCTGCCACTGGGTAAACGAACATCATTCAGACGTCCAGCACGAACGAAACACCATGTCAACATCACCAAACCACAGGCGTCAGTCACGCACGGACAGCAACGCGTCACAAACTGCACCTCTCAAAAGCTCAAGACACGACAATCACGAGAAGTGTTCTTCTTCACCCCGCCAGTCAAGCCAGCGAGAGCAATGAAAAAAAAAAAAGGGCGGAAAAAGTTCGCGTCACCTGGAGGCAGTGTAATACCAGGGACACTGTGGGCAGAGACATAGGCAAGCCTAGAGGAATCCGCCCGGATTCCAAAAATAGGAATAATCACGATTAGCCTCCTTAGAGGCCTTTCAGAGATTAAACTGAAAAGAACAGATACTACACTTGATCTAAGCCAAAAGGCAAAGAGAGCTAAAGAAGAAAGGGAAAAAAAGATTCTAAAAATCCGCCGGGCGGCGCGACGTTTTATACTGCCGCGCGGGGGCGGTGTGGGCGCGCGTGGGGCGCCGGGCGGCAGAAATTTGGGCCAATGAGCGGCTGGGCCTGCGCAGCTGGCGGGCGGGTGCCTGACGTGCGATGTGTGCCTGGCTGTTTTGCTGGTTTTCTGTTTGTTTGCCTGAGGATTCCGCGGCAGGTGCTCCCGTCCCGTCAGGCGCGGTGGGTCGGGTGCCTGCGAGGCTGCGACTGCCTGCCAGGCAAACGCGGGAACCTGCATGCGGCTGAGGGAACGAAGGTCGGCTCATTTCACGGAGCGAGCTGTGACGATTCAAAGGAGCTCCAGCACGATGTCCAGGCACATGCATTGTTCCAGCACGACTTGGACGCACACAGGGCAACACAAGGACCATTCTCATACACATTCATCGTACTTTATCCTGCATTTGCATGCTAACGAACCATTGCTTCATCGAGCGCGTTCTCGTCTTCCTGATATACAAAGACAGTCGCACTGTCTGGCGTTCGTGTACCCTTGGTCCCAAACGCCGCTGCGTTCACGACGCATCCATGCCACTTAGAGGGCCACAACTTGCCTTGTGCTGCGTGGCTCACCTCAACAAATAATTTGGCGGCCCAAATGAAAGCCACCCTGAGAGCAAAACACCTTCAAACGCCTGGCCGTTTCGTCATGTGCACAGTCCTTCCTGAGTCACCGGGTCGTGCCTCTTTAGTCCTCGATCAGCTCGCCCTCGTCCTCAGAGACGCGCGCACGCTTCTCGGCCCGATCATTCTCGGCACCAGACTCCACGTCCGCCTCCTTTCGCTTGGCGGGCGATCTCGGGGCGTAGTCGCTGCCGGCCACTCGTGGCTGGGATCCAGGCTCCAGCCCTCGCCTGTCAGTGCCGCCGTTTGTCCTGGCCATCGGGCTGCGGCTTGCCCGCTCCATGTCCATTGGTGTGCCCGCCGATGAGAGCGTCTCGGGCTGACTTAGGAGCGTGTCGGCCCTCCGTCTCGTGACCTCGAGGTCGAAGGCAGGCGACGGCAGCGACGGGTTCTGCTTTCTAAGCGGATTCTCCGTGTAGAACTGCCTCATCACCTCAATCGACCTCGCACATCGGGCCTCGTTGACGTTCAAGTACTTCCACCACGGCTCCCCGTTGATGTCGTCTATCTGCTCCTTCGCATGAATGCTGGCGAAGAATATTGCGCAGATGGCCACGTCCCTTGACTCGATGAGCAGAGGCAGGGCCGTCAGGCCGGCGTCGTTGCAGAAAGCCCAGGCGGATTGCCTCAAGTTCTTGTTGTGAACAATGTCCAGCTGTCCAAGCAGCTCGAAGAGGTTTCTGTAGGGGTTGTCGACCATGAGGTCGAAGGTGAGCTGCTCGAGCATAATTTCCTCGTACGTGAGGATGCTGTCTCTCCATCGCCAGTACTCCTTGCTCTGCTCGTCGATGATGAGCTTGGTGTTCTTCTGGGCCACCTTGGCGACGGCGATGATGATGTCCTTGGTCTTGCGACAATTCTCCTCGACCTTGTTGGCAAGGAACAGCGCCGTTGCAGCAATGTTCTGAAGGCTGTCAGCAATGAGCCTGCAAATGGGGACATGAGGCTCAACGTACATAATGATGAATGCCGCCCTTCTCCTCTACCATGCTGAAGCGCATGTAGAAACGGTGGAAGAAGACGCTCGCTACCCATAGAGTAATCTGCGGCAGGTCCAGCATGACCCCCGCCTGGTAGATAAAGTTGACGCCCTTGGCCCTTCGAAGCCTCTCCTCGGCAGGCGCTATTCCGTCGACGATGCTCGGAGTGCTGTGCACCTCGTCCCAGGAGAAGGACCACTGGTTCACGCCCGCCAGGGGCGTCTGTCGACCTGACTGCGCGGGGGACTGCGGGCCGGACACGGCGCTCGAGCGCGGAGGCGACGTACGGGAGCTGTGCTGCGGCGGCGTGGGAGCGGCGGGCGGGACCTCTCGCCGGCGAGTTGGCGATCGCGATGGTCGCTCATGACGGTTTCCGCCGGCGGGCAGGCTGGGCGGCTGGTAGCCCTCGCGGGGGGGTCTGTAGCGATCGATGCTCGCCATCTCCGGCAAAGATTATGTCGGGTTGGCAATCACTGCGATGGTGCGACCGTGAAGGCGAAGCATGAGGGTGTTTTGCAGGGCAAAGATGTTGTCGCGGGGAAGTGGTAGCAAACGTTTGTTCGATGATGATGTTGGAGAGGCTCCGGCTCCGTCTTTGGTCGAGTGCCGTTATCTAATCGGGCGGTCACCTGACCTTGCTCATTGAACCACACTCACCCACTATTGTTGCAGGCGTCTCGAATAGGCCATTGTTGATGTAGGGTATTACTGTTTAAGAAAACAGAGCGCAAAGTCACTTGAAAAGCTTTCTTGCAAGGGTATCTATTGTTCTCAATTCGCCGTTGTAAATTTTACAGTTTGTTACAGCGCAATGGGCATGCCAGCCGTCGTTGTGCACCCACCCATCTCCTACAGAGTCTCCGCATCATTGCGGCCCCAAAGCTTCACTGTTCGATCATGGCCGCCGCTCACAATCCAGCGCCCGTCTCTGCTGTAATCGACGCTGGCAACCGGCCCAGTGTGCCCACTAAGCGTCTGAACCAGTGTCCAGTCGTCTGCCGAGAAAATCTTGACGTTTCTGTCGAAGCCACTCGAGACGAAGAAGGTACCTGACTTGATGGGTACCCTATTGCCCTTCTCATCTGGGCCGGGAGGCGTGCCGTCCACGGGGTCGTCGATGCCCTTGAACCAGCGCATGTCTGAGACGGCGCTGCTGTGGGCGCCGATGCCGCCGGTCCGCTGCACCTTGCGGACGTCCCAGCACTTGATCCATCCGTCGGCCGAGCCCGAGAGGACGCGGTGGCCGTCGGAGCTCCAGTCGAGGGCGTGAATGGGTTTGATATGGCCATCCAGGTGCCCGTCGAGGATCATGACGGTGCGGCCAGACCTCAGATCCCATATTCGGCCAATGCTGTCAAGGCCCGCGCTGGCGAGCAGGGACCCGTCCGTGTTGAAGCTGATGGCGTAGACGCCCCGGGAGTGGCCTTCTTGGAGAAGAACTTCGGCCGTCGTTTCCACGTCCCAGAGGCGCCACGAAGTATCCTCCGACGCAGAGGCCAAATACTTCCCTGATGGGTGAAACTCGGTGCGACACACGCGTTGTGAGTGTCCTTGCAGTGTTGACAGCGGGGTGTCCTTGGTCAGAGACCACAGCTGCACCAAGCCCTCGGCGCCGCCGGACGCCAGGTTGACAGAGTCGGGCGAGACGTTGTGCTCGGGGAGAGTTGCGCCGGGGAACCAGGAGAGGCCGCTGATCTTGTTCGTGTGACCGCGGTACGTCATCTTTTCGGTGAGGGTGGGCAGCTCGACCAGTTTGACCTGGCCACCCCAGTTGCCGACAGCAACCAGCTTCCCGTCGGGCGATATCCTCGTCATGCTGATGTGCCGCTCGCCGACGGTCTGACTTCCCTGCAGCTCAAAGGCTGCCAGCCGGTCCTTGATGTGCTTTCGGTGCTTGACCTGGGTGCGCAGGGGAATCGTGGCCTCCTCTTTGAGAAAGGCGACCCTGCGCTTTGCCCGGGGTAGCGAGAACTCGGCAATCTTTATGCGAGCCTGGAGAAGTTCTTTGCCTCCCCGCGAGTAGAACTCTTCCTCGGCCTCGGCCGCCTCCTCCTCCTCGGGCGCGTCCTCCATTGTGATGTCGCCATTCTCGAGGCCAGACATTTCAGCCTGGATCGTCAGGAGCTCGCGTAATCGGTCTCGTCTCTCGGCCGGGCCCTCTCCAAATAGGGTTACCGGCTCTCCCATCTCCCGCAGACGCGCGCGGACTCGGCCGTCGTCGGTGGGCACGGCTATCGTGGCGGCCAGGCGTTTGCGGTTGAACTGGTTCAAGATGGCAGACGCCTTTTCGGAGGACCCGCCTGCCGTGGGCATATCGTAGTCGTGGTCATCGGGCAGATCCTCCAGGGCGAGGCCGGCCTCGGGCCTGGCCTCCTCAACGTACGCCTGTCTCGAGGGGTGGATCATCTTGGCGACTCCCGCGCGTCGCGGGTAGGTGGTGGCCGCGGGAACCCTCCTCTAGGCTGTCGGCCTGTGAGTATACAATACACTGACAGGGGCAAGAGCGGCGGTATGCGCACTTGTACGGGGGAGGCGGAGGGTGAGGCGGCGAGCTGTTTGTCGGGTTGGTGTTGAAAGAGGCGACGTCCCTCTGGAGGCTCGATGCGGTGTTGACTGGAAAATTGGTGACGGTGGTGTTTTAGTGGGGCAGGCCGCTGAGGTACGGCGCGTCCAAGAAGGACGGGAGGGAGCTCTGGTGGCACCGCCAAGGCCGCAACACCTTGGCCTGCGATGCCTTGCATGGCTCATCTTGGGTGCCGTTCAAAAGCAGGTGATTTTGGCCGAGTGAGCGGTGGATATTATGTATTGAAAGCGACACCGCGGTGCATCGTGTAATTTTCAATCTCTGGTATATCAATGCGAGAGAGGGAATCATCCCATTGATTGCTCCCCATGCTGCTGTACGGGAGCCACGGCAGCAATACAAACGAAACACAAGCAGCTCCCAGGTCTGGAAAGCTAACGGACTACCTAACCAACTGCAACGTGGCCCACGGCTCCCGACGGCGACACGGGGCATGCAGCTGCGTGGACATGCAGCCGCCTCACTCAAAATGCATCGGCCCGTCTGAAGACGGCACTTGTCCAACCTCGTGAGCCGTCGGGTCCGTCCACTGGCGCAAGGCGGACTCTGGATGCACACGCCCGCCGACATGCGCACGGCCTGTGTGCTTTGCACCGCGACGGGGACCTGTGATGTCTCTTTTGCCCGTGTCAAATGATGTCAGTAATGCAGCCCGTGGTGTTCAGCCGGCGACTAAATCGCTCTTTGATGAGGGAATAATCTGGTTCAACCGCCGGACAAAACGTGAGGCATCGGCTGGTCGGGGGTGACAAGATGCGACGCTGCGCGGATCCATAAAGTACATTCCTAGTATCTTTGGTACTGTACCTACACCCGACTGCACCTCACCCGACTGCAGCGCGCAGCGCAACGCAGCGGGCGCCAACCGAGCCCAAGCCACGGGCTGACCTGGCAGTCGCCCATTCAGCGTGCCAGGTGCTGACCACGGGCGGTCCGGGGGCACCACCGCACCTCACTTGAGGCGGCGCGCCAGCCCGTTGTGGCCCGCCGGGAGCGCGCACTAGGTAGACCTGGAATCCCTCATGGGCTGTTACCTACCTTACGAAGTGGGCATCACCTGCAGGAGCCAAGGCAGGAAAGAGCCCGGAGCACACCTGGGCACAGTCTCCACACCCACTCTCAGCTGGCCTCCCCAGGCGGCCGGCGCCGCCGCAAATGGCGGGGATGCGTGAGATGAATGTCCCCCCATGCACGCTTGACACCCGAGCCGAGACAAGAAGAAAAAGTTGGGCCGAGCGCGCGTGAGGCCACTGTCGACGGCCACGGGGAGGGCGCTGAACCAAAAAGCCTGCCGTAGGTTCCATGCGCCCGCTTGCCAGCCTTGTTCCAGCCCAGGTTGCCAATAAAATGGCTCCCGTTGGCTCTCCACACCCGCCCTTCCCTCCCCTCCGCTTCCCTTTTTCCCGCCCTTGCACACCTCACCTTTTGGTGCAGACACCAATTACAAAAAAAAAAAAGGCTGCCACCTCCGAACCCAGATCCTACACCCGCGAGAGACGTCCTCACCGGAGAAACCGAAAAGCGACGACAAGAAAGAACGACGCCCGCAAACGAACCCCCGACACCCAATGCATATACAAAAACCGTTCCATATGCGAACCTCGTTCTTCAAGTACCAGATGCGTGTGGCCACTACCCACGAGACCCAGCTTCCTTTCGAGTCCGAGCAGCGCGCAGATCCGGAGCGCCGACGGGGTTCGACTTGACTCCCTCTGCTTCAGCCGTGGCCTGATTAAGGCTTGACCTTTGGAAGGCTCGACGACGCGAAGAGACGGCCGTTGTCTCATTAGTCGAGCCGCTCCCGGATATTCTATACACCACTGTTACACACCCATATATACACTTGTCGCCCGTCGCCTAACGACGCCGACGACCCGCTCGCGCCATGATAAGCCCGGCGCCCGCTGCGCGCAACACGGTGCGCGGCTTCCAGGCGACGCCCGTCGCCTCGGGCGATGAGGACTCCGACTATGGCGCCTGCGAGACGCCTCGCCAGGGCGCCCGCCGCGGACGCCCCGGCCGCATCGACGACGTCGTGAGCGCAAACTGCAGCCCCATCCTGCGAGGGGCCCCGTCCCCTGGCGTCTCGGGCATCGCCAAGCTGCGCATGCAGTTGGACCCCCTCAACCTCGACGGCTCGTCGCGCTCCAGCTCCGCCGCCCGCAACGGCGGTCGCTCCGGCTTCCGCAGCGCCGCCGACACCCCGCGCTCCGCTAGCCGCGACGGCGCGCGCAGCGAGGCTGGCAGCGAGAGCTCCGAGAACGGCTCCACAAGCTACGAGGTCAACCTCGAGCACGACTTTGTCAGCGAGAGCGTGCGCGACCGCTCCGTCCTGCTTGAGACGCTCGAAGGCGGCCTAAACCCCCGCCGCAAGATGACCGCGGAGGAGTTTGAGCCCCTGCGCTGCCTGGGCAAGGGCACCTACGGCACCGTCCTGCTGGTCAAGCAACGCGCCACCGGCCGGCTCTACGCGCAGAAGCAATTCAAGAAGGCGTCGCTCGTCGTGCATAAGAAGCTCATCGAGCAGACTAAGACGGAGCGCCAGATCCTCGAGTCGGTCAACAGGCACCCCTTTGTGGTCAAGCTCTTCTACGCCTTCCAGGACCTCGAGAAGCTGTACTTGATCCTCGAGTACGGCCAGGGCGGCGAGCTCTTCACGCATCTCAACACGGAGAAGATGTTCTCGGAGAGCGTGGCCGCCTTCTACATGGCCGAGATGCTGCTCGCCATCTCCCACCTGCACAACGACCTGGGCGTCGTGTACCGCGACCTCAAGCCCGAGAACTGCCTCCTCGACGCCGACGGCCACCTCCTGCTCACCGACTTTGGCCTGTCCAAGGTGGCGGTGGAGCAGTCGGAGAGCTGCAACTCGATCCTCGGCACCGTCGAGTACATGGCGCCCGAGGTGATTCTCGGCAAGAAGTACGGCAGGGCCGTCGACTGGTGGTCGTTTGGCGCCCTCGGCTACGACCTCATGACGGGCAACCCGCCGTTCCGAGGCGGCAACCACGCCAAGATCCAGGACAACATCGTCAGGCAGAAGCTCGTGCTGCCCTACTTCCTGAGCCCGGACGCAAAGGACCTGCTGACGCGCCTCCTGCGCAAGGAGCCGCAGAAGCGCCTCGGGTCCGTTATGCCGCGCGACCTGCAGACGCTCAAGAAGCACCGCTTCTTCCGGAAGATCGACTGGCGTAAGCTCGAGGCACGGGAGCTGGAGCCTCCGATCCAGCCCATGATCACGGACCCCGAGCTCGCCGAGAACTTTGCGCCCGAGTTCACCGAGCTGGCGCTGAGCCCCGTGGTGACGGCCAAGGATGCCTGGGCCGTCGGCGGCACCCCGGCCTCGGGCCACAAGGACGACGTGTTTGGCGGCTTCAGCTTCGTTGCGTCGTCGAGTCTCCTGGAGAGCAATGCCTTTCCCGTGGCCAACGGCGTGTGATGCGACCACCGCCCATTGCCTTTTGTGTTTTTCGCACTGTTGATGAGCGTTCGAGCAGCGTTAAAAGCCTTGATTTTTGTCGCCGCGTTTTCATGCCTTCGGTATGTCACAAAGAGGAGAGGAGGGGCCCGCCAAGTACCACACTCGTGGTCTCTGGTCTAGGGCCGCGGTGGACAAAGAGCATCGACCTGCCGTTGGGCAGTACGTATGCGTCTTCTGGCCCACTGGTATTGGCTTCGTATTTTCATCTTGGTCACGGATTCTAATATAGAGGCATGCATAGAAGGGTGACGATTCGGTCTCCTCAGGCTTCTTTAGCAACAAAAAAGGCGGCCACGCAGTTTCATGGGTAGAGGCGTGGTGGCCGGGCTGGATTTTCTCTCTCGGGACCGTAACGGAGTACATGAGTGCTGAATGGAACTGCATGCACATGCTTTCATGCCAAGAATTGTGGTAGTGCCCCGCGTACTCGTGAAGAGGTGGTGGTGAACGTGTTGTGGAACGCATGCTGTGTCACGGTGAGGCTGGGTAAGCGGGAGGCCTCGGCGGCCTAGGAATTGTCACGGAAGACAAGCAGCGACCTCGGCGAGAACCTACCCACAAGAGATGAAGAGTCGCTCGACGTGCAGACTACTTACGCAAGTGTGAGCTGATGAAGCTGCGGGTCGCAGTGGCAGCGGGCGCTGACCGCTTGGCAGCCGCTCCCCTTAACCGACACTTTGGAGGTCGTGAAATGTGCAGCGATAGCGTCGGCGATAGTAGTCCTGGCAGTCATCGTAGTCGTCGTCAGCTACTCGGATATCCCACCTGCCGGGGAGAGCCATGGAGTTGACGTCGCAGCCTCCCAGGGCCTTCTTCCCTGTCCTCCATCCGCTCCTCCCCTGCGCCCCCTTCCCCCTCCTTCGGCTGTTGAGCTCAGGGTGGCCAAGTCGCCAAGAAAAAAGAGCCGTAGCGCAAATCGCAACCTTAACCTTGGCCTTAATCGACGCGGAACGCCACAGGAATCCGCGTGTGAGGGCTGCGTGCTCGCATGTTTTGTAATTGGCGATGCTGACTGGATGGATGGAGGGATAGAAGGGAGGATGGGGGCTGGCCGGACAGGGAAAATGGAACACGGAGACGGAGTATTCCGCGGCTGAATGGCATGGCGCTGATGAACGGCTGCTGTGCGTGATGGAAGGGAGGGTTGCGGTATGCGCGCGCGGTGCCTTGGCGCTGACGACGAGAAGAGGCTGATGCGAGAAGGGAAGTGGATGAGCGATGAAGCTCTGAAGAGAGATCGAGAGGGGAGAAACGGCGTCGCGAGCACCTGCAGGAGATGAAACTGGCGTCGGCGAGATGGGCTGATTGGATGTTTGCACCTGTTTCTGCTGTGCGAGGCGGCTTTTGTGGTTGTTGTTGTTGTGGTGGTGGTGGTGGTGGCCCATCTGTAAATCTGCGTCACTGCATCACAGCTCCTGTGCAGCGGCAGACTCGACCCGCGGGCAGGGCAGCAAAAGAGTCATCCGGCAACTGCTGAAAGCAGGCGATCAGCAGAGTCGAGCTGCTAATCATCGTGGTCTGTTGCTGCCGGCGGAAAGACTTGGACCCCATGAAGGACGGCCAGACTCAACGTCAATGGCGGACTTTGCGCCGAACGAGCAGCGGCAGCGCCAGATTCGGCGTCATTAGAACCCCCGCCGGGCGAAATGGAGTGGAGGGTGGATTCCTCATCCCCCATTGCCCCCAACCGCCAGCCCCCCAGCAGGCGCAGGGCTGTGTTTTGCAACTGTCCGCCGCACGGCACTAAAGAAAGCTGCCATGTAGGGCGCTGTTTGCTGGTGGTACTAGTTCGTAGTAGTCGTCGGCAATCCGATGATGATGCAACTCCCCCATCGTCGAACTCGTACTCCCCAGATGCCGCCCGCGCGCCCACCCGCCCCTGTCGTTCATCTCGATCTGGAAACCTGCCCACCAAGAAGGAATGCCGAGGATCACACGAGCAGGAAGAAGCGAAGGAACGGCGGGCGGACGCGGTCCCACGGACGGTCAGCCGGCATCGTGCGTTGCACCGCTTGCTGTCTGTCTGCCCGGCTGTCATCTGCGGTGCTCCCGTCGTCGACGATGCAAGCGTTCGGACCACAGGCCTCGACGGACCCCAGCTCCTCTGATGTGATGACAATCGCCAAATCTTCGTTGGCCCAGCGAGCCAGCCCCCCCTTCTCCGGCGGCATCATGAACGACGTCTCATCCGTCGGGCCAATCAAGACGGCTCCAAAACGCCCTCGTCGCGGCAGCCCATCTGCCCGGCACCCCATCTTAGCTCGTGGTGGCAGTGTTGGCTGAACAGGGTCTCAAGTCCAGACTCTGGCCAGCCCTGTCCCTGCATTTGGCGACTCCATTTGCTCCTCGCGCTGCTCTGATACACGGAGCCCAACTCTCTTCGGGCTTGGCTCGCGTCGTGGTGTCTGCTCGTTCTGGCTTCTCCATGGGAAACGCTGCGGGCGCCGCACCCCTCCCTCTCCATGCGGCTCTGGGTAAATGCGTAGAGGCGTGAAGCGTTGAGATAGAGTAGCGATCCGCGGCCGGGGCCTTGCCGTGCTGGGGAGACTCAAGCCACCGCGACGCCGCCAATCGCCCCTGCTCCTGAGAGTCATTGACGCACCGCTTATATCAGTCTGTCCTCGCTGCCACACCCTGGGGCCGCTTCCCGTTTTGTCTCGTCTTGTCTTCCCTTGCCTGCAATATATAAAACCGTACCAGTCACCCCGTCGGTTCCAGATCCCGCAACTCGACTGCAGCAAAACCAACACTCGATCACAAACCGTACGCCATGAGGCTCGCTTCCAGGACGGCCTGGGCGGCTGCTTTGGCCCTCGGTAAGGAATCGTCTGTGACGCACAGAATACCACTGATTGTTAACTTGCAGTAGCTGTCGCTGGGGTTCATGGCGAGCCCACGCCATACTGCCCCGTGGAAGAAGTCTGCTTCCAGTTCGCGGTTCCCGAAGCCGCCGCCAGCTCTGGCTCGGGCAACGTCTACTTCCAACTCAAGGCGAGCTCGTCGGTCAGCTGGGCAGGCCTCGGTATCGGGTCACAGATGAGCGGTGCCACCATGTTCATCATGTACGCCAACGGGAAGAACAACGTGACTCTTAGCACCAGGAAGGGTACCGGCCATGTCGAGCCAAGGTACAGCCGCATGACCAACGTCGAGCTCCTCGAGGGGACCGGCATAATCAACGGCAGCATGATCGCAAACGTGCGCTGCAGCGGATGTGCAAACCTTGACCTCTCCGGAGTGAGCAGCTGGGTGTCTGCCTGGAAAAGGGGGAGCGCCATGAACGAAGAGAGCCCGTCCGCCAGCATCGTATACCACGACTCGCACAACAACTTCAATGTCAACCTCGGCATGGCCACCATCAACAGCGACGCCAATCCATTCGTCAACAGCTCTAGCACACCTGGAGGAAACAATGGCGGGGGCAACGGCGATGGAAACAGTGGAGGAAACAAAGGCGGCAACGGCGGTGGCGGCGTCATCGTGACCGGTGCCGGTGGTGGTTCGTCGACAACGACTCTCATAAACGCGCATGGGATCCTCATGACAGTTGTCTTTGTCGTTGGATATCCCATCGGTGCCATGCTATCGCCCTTTGTTAGCACCTGGATCATCCACGCAACTTGGCAGTCCCTCGTCTTCTTCGCCATGTGGGCAGGGTTCGGCCTCGGAATCGTCATATGCAGTCGCATAGGCTTTGTGAGTATTGCCCTGCGTCATAACGTCGCACTCGTGGCCGTAGCTGACTTCCCACAGTTCTTCCAGAACACGCACACTCAGCTGGGCGTCTTCATTGTCTCCTTGATGGGCCTGCAGCCCATATTCGGCTTCCTCCACCACAGGCACTACCTCAGGAACCGCAGGCGTGGCATCATAAGTTACGTTCATATCTGGTACGGTCGCTCGCTCATGATCCTCGGCGTGGTCAATGGCGGGCTGGGCCTGCAGCTTGCGGGAAACCCGCAACCGTTCGTCACCGTATACATAGCCGTGGCCGCGATTGTAGCGGCGGCATATCTCGCAGTGAGCGCCTTTGCTCTCTTCAGGAAAAGGAAGCCCGCTGGGATCGAGCCGCCAGCCAATGGGTCCGACAACACGGAGAGGAAGAAGACGAAGATTTGGTCATAGCCGCGAGCAGAAATCTCGAGTTGGACTTGAGGAAGCCGATGATCTTTGTTGCCAGGCAGTGAGGCGCAACAATTTTGTTAGACAGGAGTTCCGATCTCCATGGGTTGCTGGAATGGACTATTGCTGCATTTGTGCGTGGACGTGTTCGGCGGACTGCTTCAGAGTGTTAGGGAGCTGCGGGTCGTGAGAGCATAGAGAGATTACGAAGGATGAGAAACATACGATTATCCCAGAGCAATGATATGATGCATCTCAGTCATGCCAGCACTCCGTACCAGGCAGGGAACTCACCCCAGCTGCGTGAGAGTAATTGCAAGCAGAGTGCCCGTCGAACGAGCGATGGCGGTGGAATGTCCCCTGCCGAAAGCGATAACGAATAAAAATTGAAAGACAAAACGGTCAAGCAAAGCTGCCGCACGCCAAATAGGATGATGATATGCGTGTCTTCCTTCGTCATGGTGTAGCCAAGTAATGCAGTCACGCTGGGAACAGTCTTCCCCGTGTTAGTCGCCAATGGCAGGTCACGTGCCACGAAAATGGCAGGTGAGGCTGGGTGCGGGAAGGGAAGGAAGGGGGGAAAGGAAATGTGGAACCTGAGGCAGAAACCGTCGGCTAGCCGGGGGAGCAACGACATCACGATTTTCACAAAACCCTCACAGTACTCCTCCGCCCCCCCCATCTCGCCTCAGGGTATCCCCATTGAGCAACGACCCCCGACGCCAAAATGCTCAGCCAACTGTCCAGGGCTTCGGTGAGTCGACTTTTCTCCCCAAGGCCGGTCGTCTGGCGATGCGTCGCCGCCCGTCGCGCGGCCGATTGATTGCGGGCAAGCTCGGCTGACTCTGTCCTCTTGCAGCGCGCCACCTCGGCCGTCGCCGCCGTCGCTCGGTCTGCCAGGGCCGTCCAGGTCCGGACCTTCATTGCTCCCACCGTCTCCCGGCGAGGTAAGGACACTCTTCGCTCCAGCACTCTCTTTTTTCGCGCGACCGATTGGCGACGGGCACCCGGATTGAATCGACGCGATGCGGTCGCCGAACTCCGCTCATCCATGGCCGAAAGGAGCCAGCCTCCTCTATACGCCCGCCCCCCCAACACCCGAAGTCAGATGTTGTTTTCCTCGACTACTGCCCCGAGCGGATGATGAATTCGACGACTGCACGCGATTTTCTTCCGGCCGCCTTGTCCGCCAACGCACCGCCACCCCAGTGACACACAAGCTAACGCTGCCCTCGCATAGCCGACTTCGTCCAGGAGCTGTACCTGAAGGAGCTCAAGGCCTACAAGGTCCCCCCCGTCAAGGAGTCCGACGCCGAGGGCCAGGTCCAGACCTTTGCCATGCCCAAGACCCCCGCCTCCCCCGAGGAGACCGACCTCGCCGGCAACCTGAAGGAGTATGAGAGCATGGCCGTCGAGATCGAGGGCCAGGACGCCTCCGCCCAGGCTGGCAACGCCGCCCCCGCCCTCCAGGACTGGCTCGAGGCCGAGGAGGAGGAGCCCCAGGGCCACTAAAGCTGCGTCGCCTTCATACGCGCCTAGGCTTTTTTCACCGGTCCCTTTGTCGACGAAAGGCGGAAGAGGAGCAGAAGGTGGGCGTCGTTGCATCCCGTCCTCGGACATGAACACGTGGGAGGGAACGAGGAGGGCTAGAGAGAAATACAGGTGGAGAAGCGATCAGGGGTTGGCTTGCATCGGCTCGAGAGAGCGTGCCGGCGTTTGAGACGAGCACAGGTGATGGGGTCGATAATCCTGTTGTACATTTTCCCTCCTAGCAGCCTCGAGTGGGCTGCGGGACTTGATCATTGCGAATGTCAAACTAAAAAAAGGTCCAAGACGCGTTGCGGCTGTGAATCTTGTTGCCAGTGCTCCTCTGTAGACACGTCGGCTGTGTGGCATCATGTCCTGCGCAAGGCGCACAACAGCCCCCGCCCTTGCATGCATATATTACATGTATGCCCGGACTTAGAAATGTTTCTGACGGTCGACTCTCACCGCACAATGACGTCTGATTCTCACCGCAAGACTCGGGACCTACCTGTCTTTTCACTCGGAAATCACATCACACACGCAGTGGCACCACCCACGATGACTTGCTTGTGTTCCTTGTCCCAGGAATTCCTTGCTTTAGGAATCGCCCCGAATATATTCACGGCCTGGGATGGGATTCTGTCCCCCCCCCACCATGCATGTCTGTCTGTCTGCTCTGCTCTGCTCTGTACTTCGTACCGGACGCATGTTATCTACCTCAGTACTAGGTTCCTAAGGTAGTAAGTAGGTAGTAAGTACATACACCAAGCGCATCATCCCCGGCACAGCTAGCTGCCTGCTCCCGAGAAATGTAGCCCATGGCGCGTCGCCCCAAGCCCTCACTGTTGTTCGTTGCTCGTTGCTTCTTGTGTGATTCTTGTTGCTGTTGCATGTCTGTTATTTTCCTTGCTTGCCGACCTGGGCAATTAGCACCTGTCTCCCTCCCTCTCCTGCCCGAAACCCCCAGTTTTGCAACCCACGCCCCAAACGCAAGCCAGTATCAGACACAGACAACGCCCCGTCCATTCATGCGGTGAAAGCAAAAGTCTTTGTAGAACAACATGCAGATGAAAAGGTCGCCCAATGGCTGGCCATCGTTCATCGTATCGTGCGGAATACAGCAGAGAAACACAGCCCTCCCGTGAAAGCAAGATATATAAGCACAAGGGACGACACGGCAGCAGCTGAGGATGCGCAAACGTTGCTTCCTAAATCTTGCTGACAGTGACAGCCAAAAGAGCCGCGGGGGCCGGTTCAACAAAAGACGTCCTCCTTGCCTCGACACCGGAACGCCAGAAACCTCAAGCTCCGCTGCCCTTGCACACAATGCAAATGCAATACCCAGCCGCCCACCTCCGATGCATGATACCATGATTAAATTTTTTTTTGTGCACCCCCTTGTGAGACTAATGAAAGTTCCACCTCAACTCTCCCCAACTGAGAGCTCATCCCGTTCCGTCGGTGAGAGAAGGACGCAGGCTAGTGGGCGATTAGGGGTCGAAATGCGACCCACCGACTAGGTGTTCGTCGTGGTGGGACGTCTTGACGATGCCGCTCATGCGATTTGCCTTGCGCGGATCAATGTCGTCGAGGTTGTCCCAATCGTCGTCGTCGTTGTTGGCGGCGTGGGCGTCATCCATATCGTCATCACTCGAGCGGAACCGATCCCTCATGTGGTCATCGAGCGCACTCTCGTCGACAAAGGTGAAGCCCTGGAAGTTGGCCTGCACCGACGGAGAGAGCGGCGTGGACGCGGCGTAGCCTCTGGCCAGGGCAGCCGCGCGCTCGTTGAGCGATCCATTTTGCTCCAGCGCGGTCGTGAACTCTGGGTCAAAGTACGACACGTCCGTCTCAGACTTGAGCTTGGGCTTGAACGGCGGGGTGATGAGCTTCTTGGCCAGGAGGTCCCAGTCGATGTCGGCGAAGAATGGATGCTGCATAAGCTCCTTGGCGTCTTCTGTCGCTCCGAGTCTGTGTTTGGGATTTCTGTTAAGCAACCCCTTGACAAAGTTGCGCCCTTCTTGCGAGAGCGTGTCCCGAGGGAAGCGCACTTTGCCAAAGGCAATATTTTTGTACATCTGCTGCGTGTCTTCGGCGTAGAACGGACTCCAGCCGCAGCACATCTCGAAGACGAGGACGCCGAGGGACCAGAAGTCGACCATCTTGGTGTAACCAGACTCGTCCAACAAGACCTCGGGCGCCAGGTATTCCGTAGTACCGCAGAACGTGTTGGTTGTGTCGTTCTTGGTAAGGTTGGCCTTGGAGAGGCCGAAGTCGCACAACGCAATGTGGCCATTGGCGTCGAGGAGGATATTTTCGGGCTTTAGGTCGCGGTACACAATGTCGTTGTTGTGCAGGTGCTGGATCGCGAGGATGAGCTCCGCGATGTAGAACTTGGCCCGCCTCTCGTCGAAGCGCCCCTCTTTTTGCAGGTGCCAGAAGAGCTCGCCGCCCGACATGTAGTCGGTCACCAGATAAAGCTCTGACGGTGTCTGGAAAGAAAACTTGAGGCCGACAATGAAGGGCGAGTCGGACATGGCCGTTCGCACGAGAATGTTGCGCTCCCCAACCGTGTGGGCAACCTCCTTCTTCTGCACAATGACCTTCTTCTGCAGCACCTTCATGGCGTAGATGCGCTGCGTATCGCGCTTCCGAACCTGGTAGACTTGCCCAAACGTCCCCTTGCCAATGAGCTTGAGAATCTCGAAGTCGCTGGGGCCGAATTGCTTCTTCTCCGACCGCTGATACAGGCACTCAACGTATATCTCGCCCGTCGGGGCGTCCTCGGCCACCGTGTCGGCGTGGCCCTTCAACGTGTACCAACTGCGCATGGTGCCGTGGTCATCTCGCGAGGCTTGGAAATCGACTTGTCCCAGAAACTCTTCGCCCGTAGCCGTGTGGTCGTATACGGAGATCGCAACCGCCATGTCGGAATCGACAACGTCACTACCAAATTAGTCAGTCAATGCGTGCGGCACAGGAGAGGCTCAATAAATGTGCACGTACAAGACCGCCTCGGCATCCCACTTTGGGTTCGAGGAAGGAGCACGAGCCGTTCGATTCCGGAATGTATTGTAGTCGGTGATGCTGGTGTTGCTGCTCTGGCGGCTGCGCATCGGAATGGCCATGGGGCGGCCTGAGTCACTGCCCTGGCGCTGGATGGGGATGCTGCCAATGACAGACGTCGGGGCATTCAAATTGTGCTCATCCTCTTCGGACGGCCTCGGCCCGCCTGAAATTAGCTCGCTGCGCTGAAACACGGCGACGACATAAGGGTCACGACATTTCCGCAGACCCCGCGCCTCGACAATTTTGATGGTGAGCTTGCCCCTCGCCAGGGGAACCTGGGCGCCGGCAGACGTCGAGTTGCGAGGCGTCTGCGTGCCGCTGTGCTCGGCGCCGTCATGACTGGTCCGTCCCGGAGTGTCTCTGCCATCTGATTGGGATGAGTGAGCAGCAGACAGTGCTCTCGTGGGAGTCGGTGGACCGCTCTTGAAGATTGTGCCACGAGTTAGCTCTTTGAGTCCCTCAAGAGAAAACCACTTGCTCGAGCTCGCGGGCGCTGCCGCCAATTGCGCAGACTGTGCAGGCAAGGGAGTGGGCTGGGGCTGCTGGGGTGACGTAGAACGGCGACCACTTTGGCCGGCCGAGGCCGCCACTTCTGACAGGGCGTCGGAAGCTTGGGATCGGCCCTGCTCGAGCGACTCCTTGCCCGTGCGCGAGCCGACCGTAAAGGCGGCGCGCGCCTGGGCGTTGGACAGGCTCAAGCTCACGTCCTGCGTCATGGAGCCGCCGGAGGAAGAGGGTTGTGAAGCGGGAGGAGTGGGATAGGGATGAGAGAGGGCTCGCGACGGTCTGGCAGGTTCAGTCCCATGCGGCAGGGACGGATGGGCCTCGTGGCTTGTCCGGCTGCCACAGCGCACGGAGCTCTGGGCAGCAACCTGCGATGGACACGGCGTCGCCGAAGCGGCCTCGTCTCCCTCTCCATGTTCTCGCAGGGCGGCATTCTCGACGGGCGGCGGGTGGGAGGAGGTCTCGGTTGCAGGAGGGTCTGGACGAACCTGGCCGAAGTAACTCAATATTCCGGGCAGTCGCTTGTCCTGGAGGTCGGGCTGGGGCGTGGCGATGCCGGAGCGCGGCGTGTCGGAGCCGATTTGATCGACGCCCTCATCGTCGGTCGCGGCGGTTCTGGCGATCGGGTCAACACCTGGCATTGTGGCGGCTTGCGAAGACGCTGGACAATGGGGCGGCGACAAGAGGGAAAAGGTGGCCGGAAGAGGTGTTCGCGAACAATAGGTGGCGGGGTGGATGGAAATATTATATGCCCAGGCTGTCTGGCGGCGACACTAGTCCATGCCAACTGCCAAGAGAGGAAGCGGGAGGGGGAGAGGGGGAGGAAAAAAAAGGTTGCAGAGGTGAAGCCTAAGCACGCGGCACAGGACAGGCGCGAGACGTGGTCATGGACGGCTCAAAGGCAAAATGCACCACGGCAGAGCGAGGACAAAGGCGGCGGTCGCCGCTGATGCACGTCGATGCAGCCGAGTCGAGGAGTCGAGGGTTTGTCTTTTGTTGGGCTGCAACGGACGGGCAGACGAAGGCAGCGCAGCGCTGCGCAGGGGGGATGATGCAGTGACGATGATGGTGCGGGTACCGGCGCGGGTGTGCGTGAGGTGCGAAGGGTGCAAAGGGAAAAGACGGAGCAGAGGGCATATCCGAGAGCGGACATGCAAATGAGTAAACCGCCGCAGCGTGTGTATGAGCAGCAGCACTAGCAGCAGCGGCGGCGGCGGCGGCGGATGACGAGCGAACGAATTTTGCTCCATCTCCATCCAGTAGGGGCCCCCTCGCACGAAGCAGCTTGCTTGGCTTGGTAGGTAGGGGCCGCCGCCGCCTTCGCCGCCGCCATGTGGAAGTGTGGCCTTGGGTTCGACGATGGCTCCGGCAGCAGCTCCGTCGGCAGCAGCAAGTGGAACAGCCCAGCAACCTTGGAAAGGGCCACAGCGCCGCTGCCGGGGTGCTTCGGGGGGGGCTCCAGCGGTCTCCATCCACCAGACACACGCCCCCGACGCCGCGCAACGGAGGTGCCGCAGGTGGCCCCCCAAGGGCTAACAGCGCCAGCCCACCTTGGTAGGCAGGGCGGCCCAGTGCGTGCGGTGCGCCGCAGTGCGAGAGGGAAGGGGGAGGGGGAGGCTTCCAGCGCCTTCCCTTCCATGGCTCCGGACTGCACCCCTCCACCCGCCGCCGATGGCGCCATGATTGCCGTCGCCAATGCACCGCAGTCGAGTCATAACGCGACCCGAGTCAGAGCGCTTGCCGGACAAGGCAAATCGACGCAGAAGCGAAGGGGGAGCTGGGAGATGAGGGGTGCTGGGCCGGTTTCATGGAGTGCTGTGAATGAGCAGGCCGGCAAGCATGCTGCCTTGCTCGAGGTGCGCTGCCTCGGCTGCGAGACACGACGGCCCAACGACGGCTTCGCCGACTGATGTGATGCCGCTCTCCGCAGGCGTGCGGGTCTGACCGTGCATGGGAAGCGTGAAGATTGCTGAGGAAATGGCAAGAGAAGCATCTGGCATGTGCCAGAGCATTGCTTCCGTCAGGCCGAATCGACGATAACGGGCCCGGCCAATATATCGAATGCCTCCGGGATCGCCCATGCGCGAGCACGCAGCGCCGCGCACTCTCAGCCGCCCTGCACCATTGGTAAGGCAGGCGCAGAGCCCACGGGACTGGCGAGGCATGCTGCCCATGATGAAGTGCCCGGGGCATCAGGACGGCGGGCTGTGTAAGTGCCCGTCGATCCTCCAACAGGGCGCCTCGCAAGGCCACCAGGAGCAAGCCAGCTGCAGAAGCCACTGGACACCCTGCGGCCAGGCAGTCATGGTAGCTGCGGTTTTGCGAGGGAGAGAGGGAGGGGCCGAGCCATCGGAATGACACGCTGACTCGCGGTGCCGACCGGACCGTCCGTCGCCCTTCCCAACTTGGCGCTGGTGGTGCTGGTGCTGGTCTTGTCTTTGACTTGGACTTGGCCTTTGACGGGAGCCCCATCGGAGCGAGGAGCGCCACTCGGCGCTGGTGCAGCTTCTAAACTGTGGGAGCGCCTCGGCGGGGGCAGCAGCGGCAGCGGCAGCAGCACCGACAGCAACCAGAGAAGCCTCATGTCTCAGCCTCGCTCGAGGCAACGCAACTGCAGGTCCTTCCATCTTCCACTTGGAAAGGAGCGAGGAGCCATGGGCGAAACGCAAATCATTCAGCAAAGTAGCGACAAAAAAACAAGCTGTGACGGGGGGTAGCGCCAGACATGATGCGGAGAAGCAAGGAGGGGTTGTCCGACGGCGGATCGATTTTTTTTGGAGCAACGAACGGGGGGGTAGCAAGGAAGCTCAACCCACTACGTACCTTGACATCATCGCCTGCGTGGCTCGCCGCAGCAGGTCGAAGCCGCCGTGGTTCGCATGCGCGCCTTCAGCAGTGCCAGACATGGCGGCGGATTCGAGGAAACGGCTTCGCAGTGGGTGGACGGTCGACGGCGTTCGGTATCGTCAACGGAGGGTTCGGAGGAGGCGGGGGCGAGGACAGGTGGGAGACCGCGGCCGTCGTCGTTTGCGTGCCAGGCTGGCAATCAAGTCGACAAGAGGTATGGCGAGTACAGCAAAGGTGAGGCAGAGAGGAGAGAGAGAAGAGAGTTGGGAGACGGCGCTGCTGGCTGGAAGATGCAGGCTCCTGGGCTGTCTCGAGGGAGTGCCCAGTCGGTTGTGGTCCAATGCCCTGGCTGGCTGGCGGATGGCCGGCTCCAGCTCGCTGCCGTGGCCCGCGGTGAACTGCGGTCAGGCGCTGAGGTGCGGGAGGGCACGCACCTGCGGTGCTGGCACCAGCAGCGGAGGTAGTGGAGGTACAGTTACTGTACCGTGGCGAGCCTGCGAGAGGTGCTGGGCTTGTGGCGGGGTCAACGGCATCAACCTACCTTATCCATCCACCCTTCCATCCATCCATCCGTCTTTAGTACGGCATGGATGGATCCACGGGTGGCTGTCCGCACGGCCGCGATGAGGGGCCCTTGGGGCTTGGGCGGCGTCGCCTTGTGGCCGAGAGGCTCTGGGGCCGTTGCATCGTACTCGTGCTGTTCCGAGTGCTACTTTTAGTCACAAAGCGCCAAGTACCTCGACAAACTCGCCTCTCACCGGATCCGTGCAGTATCGGTATTAGACGTACGTCTTCCGCGGCAACGGGCGTCTCCTGGGAGGGCCGGCAAGGTGCCCTGCAGGCGCCGTAGTAGACCGCAGGCGGTAGATCCCTTGTCTTGTTGGGCCCGCCCGCATTGAGACGATTGGCATGTTGGCAAGCACAAGGTAGCTAGCTGTCTCTGCATCTTTACGTGCCGATGATGATGACGTGCTGGAGGCGCCCGTGTTCAACAGATCATGGACCTGGGCACGGGCAAAAGCAAAGACGGCGTCTGGACGGGCTCTTGCGTCTGCCTCGTTTTGCGGAGCATGGCCATTGAGCGCATCGACGGAGGGATGGATGAATCAAAGCGTGGGGTGAAGCTTGGTTGCCACCGCAGGCATTCCCGTCCCAACTTCCAAGTCGAGGAAGGAAGGCACGGTGCAGGCATACATCCGCAGTACAAAATACCTTCGTACAAACTCCGTACATCGCGCGCCGGTCCCCGTCGGTACTTGCGGTCCGGCAGCCCCACGTTGGCTCAGGACAGTATCCCTCTTCACCAGTGCCCGGAAATGCATCGCCCCATTGCATGCATGCCTTTCTGCACCGTCCTCGGTGTTATACTTTGCACTCGAGGCTGCTCGGGGAATACCATAATCATTACGCAGCCATCCATGGCCGCCCAAGGACGGCGATCACCCGAGCCACCCCGTCCATCGACTGGCTGATGCACATGCGCCGTATCTGGCCTCTCCCACCTTTTGGGCCGGACAATGCTGCTGCAATCACGGCCACGCCAGCCACAACCGCCAGGCATCGGAAAGCAGCCCGTTGGAGCTCCCGAGGCGAGGCTCAATGACCCAAGGTTCGAGGCATCCCCGCGACGTGCGAGTACGAGCTCATACACATACACCGCAGCCCCCGCCCGGCGTGTCCATCGCCCCGTTGCCCGAACGCCTTCTTGCGAAAAGGCACGCATCTCCAGCAACTTTGCTGCCCAGTCACGGCCTGCGCTGCATCCAGGGCCTGGGCAGGACGCCACCGTGTATCGGCCGCTCACCATGACCTCCTGGCCCCATCGAACCCGCCGCCTGCCCAGCGGCGCTTGGCCATTTGAGGCGGGCAACGGCCATGGCGAGCGGGGTCGTGTACGGCTCTCCTCTTTGAATCCCGGGCACGTCACACGATGCAGCGTCGAGAGTTTGAGCTCCCGGCCCAGGCAGCGAGATGGTCGACGACCAGTGGCTGGGAGGCAAGGCTGGCTGGTGGTTCCAGGAGCTCGGAACGGCGCCGTGGGTGGCCATCACACCCACCATCCACCCCGCCAGAGCCATAGAGCCATCACTTGCAACATTGAGCCGGTCAACAGACTCAACACCGCCACCCGGCTCAACGTCTCGTCTCATCTCGTCTTGTCTTGACTTGTCGTTCAGTCAGGGCCCCGTCCCATGCCGCACAACCGGGGTCCAACAACATGCCCTGCACGAGCACCGTCACCATTGGGACGCGCAGCTCGTATCGTGGCTCAGCTCGATTGCATTTCCGACTTTGCCATCCAAGCTGACGGGACGCCCGAGCATTCCAAATGGGTCCCGGGGGTCGCCAGAATGTAGATGGCCTCGCCTCCAAGGTCTCCCGGCCGGCCGGCCGTGTCCTCGCGGCGGAAGCAAGTGGGGCTTCGTCGATCCAGGCTCGCCAGGGAGCACAACGGCCAGGCATGCATGTCGTCGGTGTAGCCGAACTGCTCGCACGCCTGAACTCTGCAGCATCTCGGTTGTGAGCACGACCCGGCAGCAGCTGTCCGTCGCGAACGCCAGGCACTTGACCCGCCAGCCGCAGCCTCCAGATGCGGCCACCTATTAATAATGGGTGCACCGACGTTTCGATTTTAACTTGCATGACGGACAGGCAGCCGCATCGCGTGCGACGCCTCCGTTGGTTGTTGTCGCAACTGACATGTCTCGCGGCTCCATTCGCCACCCGACGCTACTCTGGACAAAGACGGCGTACAGTACCGTTGCACCTCGACCTTCAGCTGGCAGCATGGTCCCGATGACGCTTCCAATCTTGACGCCCGGGGCCATTGCCTGTACTGGCCGCCCCTATGCTTGCCGTGCTGAAGGGCCTTCCTTGGCTTGGCATGCGACCCGCATGCCCTGCTGCAGGTGCTTCGTACAAAGTACACGAAGTGTCACCATAGAATGTAGTTGGTGTACGAGAAGCAGTTCAGACGCTCGTGACGACGCGCCCCCCCCCGCTCCCCTCGTGTCTCGCACACGCCGTGTCTCCCCATATGTCATGTACATGTGCGAGATGCGGGTGAGATGGTGGACGGCCGCGTCGTACAGCGCCAATTCTGGCAGGCTGGGGGGCGCCTTTGCCACTCTGCGTAAGCAACGTGTAGGTCCTTCAATAGACAGGTAATAATTCTCACGCCCGCATGCAGTAGCGGTACCATGCAGGCCCCCTCTCCTTGGCTCTCCTGGCTGTCAACTACCCACCTCTATCCGGTCTCGAGCCGTCGACGGGAGCTGCGTGCTGGGCGCGAGGGCAGACATATATCAACTTGGCGCCCTGGGTTTGTTGGGGACTCGAGTGGCGTCGGCTGCATCACGAACTACGAACCACATGGGGCGGGACGATTCAGATCCGGCTCTGGAGCGGCCGGTATTATCCAGCCCACCCCGCGTTCCACCGGGCAGATGCGTGGGCATGCGGCTCGTCTCAGCTGGACGGACATGGCGCGCGCGTACAACATGGTGTAAGCTGAGCCGCAGCTCCACGCCCCCGGACACGAAAAGACAACGGAAGTGCCCAACGCGGGGAGAGCTCATCAGTCGTGCACCATGGCAGCTATGCGTTCTCGTCACTGCTGACTATGCATGATAACGCTGGCATAATTATCAAAACTGGCCGTGTCAATGTGCTACCCTACTTTTGCATGGTCATGTCCTGAACGAAACACGCTCGAAATGCAATGACAGCCCGTGTGCCCCGTCGAGCCCAATACCGCTGTCGCGAGAGCCGCCCTACTGCTTCTGCTGACGGGCCCGGATGGCCTCAATTTGCGCCATCCAGTGCCTCTCCATCTCCAGCGTCACGCCCTTAGGGAAGAGCTGAGGGTCGACGCCGTGGCGCGGGACCATGGGGTTCGGCAGCTTCTCTGCGCCGCGGGCGATGATGCGCGTCAGCGTCTCGTTGGCCCCTCGTACTCTCGTACAAACGAAGGAGGGCTTGCTTGCCGGAGTGTACAAGAAGGGAGGGAGGGGAAGGGAAGGGAAGACGAAAGGGACGAAAGGAAGAGCGGGTGCTTACTCATGTCAAAGTCCTGGTCTGCGAGCTTCGAGATGATGTACTCCTCCTTGGCCTTGCGCGGGGCGCCGCTGGTGCTACCGGCGGGCGTGACGGGCTCGGCGATGTCCATCTCGACTCTGGGGTAGGCGGCGTCGCTGGCCACCATGGCGCGGGGAGGGGGGAGGATGGGCGGGCGGCGCGTCGGCCAAGAAGGGAGGAGAGCTGTGCGCTGGCGCCGAGAGGATCGAGTAGAATCTGTATAGGAGGGGCCCGCTGGGGAGGTTGACGATGATGGTGTTATCGCTGGCGGGGTTGCGGGTGCAGCTGTATGATGAGCCGTAAAACGGGGATGGACTGAGGTGATGATGTTCGGCAGGTGTGCATGCAACTCGATGATGACCTCGACGTGTAACTGAGCACCAGCCCTGCCTGACAACAAGGTTGCTGCCGCTGGAGAGTCAAACCTGAAGCTCCCTCCTGCCCCACCACACAGCCACGGCAGCACCCCGCCGGCCAGAGATCCCTTAGAAACGCCACAGGTCCCCAAGGCCAGCAAATACCTGCATTTTGCGAGAAGAGACTCCAGCCTACTGCACACCGCACAAACTCACCCAGGTAGAGCCCAGCTCCCGGCAAGTACTGCACCACAACCCCCCAGCTGACCGATCCACCACGCCCGCTTCTCAAGCCTCACTCACACTCAAGGTCACTCCCGCACCTCCGTCGAGCCGGGGAGGGAAGCAACCTGGAACCTAAGTTACTGCCTACGCAACCTCCTCCCGAGGCGGCCCTTTTTTTAGCCCTCGACAGAACAAACCACCTACCACCACCATTACCACCACCGCACGCAACACAGCACGCACACACGCTCGTGCGTCGCGCGCGCACGCCCAGCACAACAAGCACAGGCATCTTTTCTTCCCAACTTCTCCGCAGCCAAACACGCGCCCGCTCCCCCCCCTCCTCGACGTGCGTTGCAAAAACCTCAGCCCCGACGTAGACCTCCTACCTATGGGCAGACTCCTTGCAGCCCCCCGCCGAGCGCCGACGTTGCACACGCGACCGCCAGAGAAGGTGCCCTGAGGCCGAGCAGACCAGCAGCAGCAGCAACAGTAGCAGCTGCGCGATCGATTCAGTATCCTCCCGGAGGCGCCGTGTGTGTATCTGTCCGTGCCTGCCGCTGTGTGGTCGGGCCAATTCTTTCTCAACCTCTTTTCGGTCCCGTCGTCTCGCCCGCTAAAGTCCGTAGAGCGTTTTCAGGTTTCTCGCCGTCATTCGAAAATAAGAGCATCGCGCCTTTGTCGCCCGTTGCGACTCCGACCGTCGCGCGTCTTCTTTGATTCTACAGGGGGACCAGAACGAAAGAGAAAACCAGGGACAGAAAGAGTAGACTGCGGTGCGCGCCCGCAATGAAGAAAACACGTGGTGGTGCGGCGGCTGCGGCTGCCGTCCCCGACGCGTGGGAGGACGACGACTGGGAGACGCAGGCCGACAAGGCCGCCGCGCAGGACGATGCCTCCAAGCACGACGCCGAGGACAATGCCCCCGGCGGTGCCCCCCTCACCAAGACGGAACGCCTTGCGCAGCATGTCGAGTCGAACCGCAAGCTCTGGGAGTCGGCGTAAGTCATGACCTTTCGCCCTCCTCCGGGCAGCGATCGCACTTTGCTGCCTACTCTCAGCTCGCATTCTGGTTCGCGACACATGCTGACGAAGCCCTGCTTCTCATCCAGCGAAACCCCACAGCAGACGTTCCACTTCCTCGAGGCGAGCAGCAACGTGCCGCTCACGTCCTCGTTCAAGCCTCAGGTCAAGGTCCTCAGCCGCAAGCCCGTCATCGCGCGGCGCGGCGACCCCGCCTCGGGCATGGCCAATCTGTCCGTCAACGACGACGACGACGATGGGGAAAAGAAGGAGGTCCAGCTGACGCCCGAGGAGATCCGCGCCAAGCAGAAGCGCGACCGCGAGGAGAAGCAGCGCAGGTACGACGAGGCGAGGGCTAAGATCTTTGGCGAGTCGGCCCCCTCGTCGCGCGGCTCGTCGCCCGGCACGGGCACCACCACGCCCCCGCGCCTGGACGGCGGCAGGCATCCCGGGCAGGGCCGCGGCCGTGGGCGCGGAGGCGGCGCGGGACGGGCCGGAGGTGGCGGAGCGGGTGTTGAGAGCCGTCAGACGCAGGATCTGCGGCGGAACACTGCTGCTCAGAACGGGCCAGCGACACGGGAGCTGTACGACCCGAATCACTCCACCAGGCCGGACACCGGACCGCTACGGAGGGGGGTTGGCGCGGACGGAGATTCTTCGACGAGGAGTCCACCGCCCAAGGACGATGCCTACCAGCCGATTCGTGCACCGCGCGGGCCGGATGGCAGCGGACGAGGCTTTGGGTTTGCGCGACGAGGCGCCAGGGGAAGTTGATCTATTTGACTTGGACGGGTGCTACCTGGCACGCCCTCCTTTCTATCACCATCCGCCCCCTATCTTGCCGGCCAGCTGGACCACCGTCTCGGCGCTCCCGGCCTTGTCCTTTCCAACATCGCTAATCACCTCACGATAGCTCGTGTACGCCAGTCTATCTATGCCAACGCCCGTCATGCGGGACCAGTATGCCAGGGTATCATGTATGTACGACCGGGAGATGCCGCCGACGACGTCATCCCCTCCCTCGGCGCCATCGCCACCACTACCGCCACCGCTACCAAGTCTCTCTGCCTGGTCGTCAGAGTAGTACGCCTCGTCGACCTCTGCGAGCCACTCCTTTTGCTCCTGCGGCCCGGGCTTGCCGGACAGGTTCCTGCGCTCGAGCACGACGGGGTCGTCGACCTTGATCTGTCCGCCGCCGTTGGTGCAGCCGCCCGGGCAGGCCATGACCTCGACGTAGCTGTTCTCGAGGGATGAGCTCGCCGACTTGGCGGCCGTGGGCCTCCGGGCGCTGCCAAAGGGCCGCCCGCCGGGCATGCGGGAGGGCCGCGCCGGCTTGAGCTTGCGGACGAGGTTTTGGATATTGCGGAAGCCGTAGTAGCGCGCGGCCTTGAAGACGGGCTCGCCGCCGACGGTGACGAGGAACTCGACCACGTCGGCGTTGCGGCCGCGGTTCACCTGGATCTCGGCGCCGGGCGTCTGCGCCGCCCTGCTCTGCAGGATGTGGTGCAGCAGGCCGCCCGAGGTGCCGGCAGCGCGGGGAGGGTTGCGGGTCCCGCCGCGGGGGAAGAGGAAGTCGTGTAGCGTAGCGTCCGGGAACGGCTCGGGGGCGCCCAGCGACGGAGCGCCGCCCTTCAATGCAGAAAGGAAATCTATCCCCCTTGACTCGGCCAGCATGAGGACCTCCTTGCTCGTGATGACGCAGTCCACGTCGCGGACGCCGCGCCCCCCTGCGCCGTCGCCGCTTGCCCAAGCCTCGTCGGTGAGCTCCTCCCTGCTGGCCTCGAGCTTCTTGTCGAAGCACGGCATGACGGCGAGGTGCCAGATGCGGCTCGGCGGGATGCCCAGCGCGCGGCTGAGGGCCGTCTTGACGAGCGTGCCCGTCAGGGCCTGCGGCGACTTGACGCGCGAGAGATGCGGCAGCACGTGCGGGTGCGTCTTCTCTGCGTAGCAGACCCAGCCGGGGCACGAGGACGCGAGGATCGGCCGGGCGGGCGTCGTTGGGTTCGGCGATGATAATAATGATGATGATGTAGAAGAAGAATGAGAAGAAGGGGAAGAGGACGTGCCGAGGACTTCGTCGGCGCCGAGCACGAGCGTAGCCTCGCGCGCGACATTCGTGTCGAGAACCCACGCAAAGCGGTTATTCCAGCGCCCACCGCCCGCGAGCCCAGACTCGCCCCTGAGCAGCGCCTCAACCATGCGGCCAGCCTCCGCGGCGGAGACGCCCCCTCCGCACGAGGCCGCGAGGTTCGCCTTTGTCTGGGGGCTCACGCTCGCGACGAAGAGCTTGGCGTCCTCGTTCTCGAGGCCCTCGACGGCGAACTTTCCTCCTCCCCCGGCGATGTTGTTACTGGGATGGTGGACGACGCGCAGCGCGGGGGCGGCGTCGAGCGTCGACAGGACCTCGGCGTGGCTCTGCAGGCTGACGAGGACGGCCTCGGCGGAGGTGACGCACCCGGAGCAGGCGAGGCAGTCTGTGAGGGAGATTTGCGCGGGCGCATTGGCGCCATTGGCACCACCGGGCCCGGCGGCGGCGCCTTGGCCGCCGTCGAGGATGACTTCGGTCTCGTTGGAGGAGGAGGAGGTGGTGGCATCATCGGTGGAGGCGGGCGGTAGGGTCTCGATGGGCTTGATGCACGCCACGCCGGGGGAGATGAAGTCGTTGAGGTCGTCGGCGGAGAGGATGGCGCTCATCGTGCCGTATGCGTGCGGCCGCACCGGCGGGCGGGCGGGCGGCGAGCGTCGCTATGTAATAGTAATTCTGCCGTGCCTCCCTGCCGCCGTAAAGGCACAAAGCACCGTTCGAGTTGCACGTCGGTTACGGATCCTCGTGAAGGGCTTCTTCTTGCATGTGCAAGCGACAGCGGACGGCGGGGCGGCGTAGGTGGGGTGGCGACGACTGCGTATCCCCCCGTCCTCGCACCAGTCTTGGGTTCGATGTCTTTCCGCTAAACCTATGACAATGTTCGACGAACAAGGGTTCAAGCCGAGGGCGGAAAGTCGTAAAGGGTCGTTAACGGCGTGAGGTTGGGCGTGGGAAAGGATGGATGTCGTCTGCGTTTTTGTTTGCGGGAAGAAGTGCCGCCCCTCCAGCCAGGGCAATAAAACGTCGAGGATTAGAAATGGCCTAGGGAAGGCCGCCCGCCCCACGGGCTGGCTGGCCCGCTGGCTGGGCTCCATGGCGGTGATGCGAAATCGGCGCGGCCACTGAGGCGGGTGGCGGCGCCGGTGTGGGGCCGGTGCCAGGGCGTTTTCGCATCACACATCATCCACACATCGCTCTATCACCCACCACCGCTGCCTTATCTTGGGCTCGACGCTTTGTCACTATCAAGAGAGAAGGCCCAGTGACAGAGAGAAAGAGAGGGACGGAAGTCAAGTACTCTGTCTGGCAATCGAATAAATTCACGGCCGCTGCATTTGACTAGGTATACTGCACTTGTACCCGATTGCAGCGCGAGTTGCTGCTGCAGTACAGGAGTGCCTCTCCGAAAGAAAGCCTTTTGCTTCCAACGGCAGACTCAGAGTCCGGATTCAGCGGCAACAGCCCCCCGCCCCCCTTTGCACAACACGTTGCAACGCGCTCGAAAAAATTGCTTGTATCCGTCCGCATGGCACATTCCCAGTACTCCCTGCGCTTTTGACCGCCAATGAAGCCCGCGGTCCGACTACACATCATCGAAACAGGGCCCTCCCCGACCCCTTCTAGTAATATACATGCCCAACGCCAAAAACTCCCTGCCGTCATCTTCTCGTCGTGCCGTCGCGTCCCCGCTTTCTGGCCCAGTTCTGTGCCGTGGCCACCTCGACAAGACTCGAGGTCGTGCTGCGCGTGGCTCGACGTGGCTGCGGCACGTACTAGGCCGCCACAGCCTGCGCCGGCTCTGCGGCTGGGGTGCCTCCGTTGTCCGCATCGGCAGCGACACCGTTCGTCTTGCCCTCGCCGTGGCCGTCGGATGCGCTGTTGGGGACCTGCACGTCGGCCTTGCCCGAGATGATGGCCTGCCGCCGCTCGTGCCAGTCCACCTCGCTCTTGATGACCTGCGAGAGCAGCACCTCCTTCTCCAGCCATTCCTTGTAGTACAGCTCCTCCCACTCCTTGTACTCCTTCTTGAGCGCGTCGCCGACCTCGTCAGCCCACTTGGACTCCCAGTAGCACTTGCGGTACAGCTTGTCGACGGGCAGGGACAGCTCGTCGGCGCTAAACGTGTCGCTCGTCAGGGCCGTGAAGAACTCCGAGTTGGAGTCCTCGCCGTTGGCGGCGCCGTCCGCACCGTCGTCTTGGCCGCCGCCGTGCGACTGCGGCGTCTTGATGATGATCTTGAGCTTGCCCGACTTGCCCGTCGGGCCCGTCTGCATCGATTTGGGCACGGGGTCTGACGGCCGGAGCGCCTCCGTCTCGTGCACGGTGCGCATGTGTTTAGCGAGGGCGTCGGATCTGGTGAAGGAGCGATCGCACTCTGTAGACACGGTCAGCAGCGTGAACTGTGAATTGGGTTATGCTGGGTCACTGACCAGGCAGGTAGCAGTAGAATGGTTTCTCTCTCGTGTGGCTGCGCATATGGGCCTTGAGAGCGTAGCCGCTAGCGTGCGGGAGACCCTTGCGGGTGCAGCTCTTCCACTCGCACGTGTACTTTTTTTGCCGGTTCTCGATGTGCGAGTTGTGGATGTGCTCGACGAGCTTGTCCATGTTGCCCTGGTCGCCGGCCGGGCAGCCGTCCCAGTCGCAGACGGTCACCTGGTCCTGGAAGTCCTCCTCGTCGAGGCGCGCGTTGATGGGCGAGCTGGGGATGTCGCCCGACGTGTCCGACGACACGTCCGACATGCCCTCGAGGGGGTCGGGCTCGGGGACCGTCTCGGGCTCGGCGTCGTGGACGACGGCCGACGAGGCCGCGGAGCCAGGCTCGACCTTGATGCGCTTCGAGGGCCGGACTGCGGCCTCGTCATCGTCATCGTGCGCATCCTCCTCGAAAGGCTCGTCGGAGCCCATCGAAGACAGGGGGGACTCGGGGGGTGAGTAGCGGCGCGGCATCGTTGGAGTTGGAAGGGGCTTGTTTCGACTGATTGCGCGTCGTCGGAGGACCGCGATGCCGCGGATCGGTCACTTCGCCTCTCGAGGCTAGGGGCCGGGTTGAAGGGTCGTACGGCGCGCAGGGAGGAGCAATTATTGCAGCCAGAGGCGATGGGAAATCACCGTGGTGCGATGGCCATGAAGCGCAGTCGATGCTGGGTGCGGCCGCGCGGACGAGGCTGACGTGACGGGGGGGAAGTTGGGGAGTTTGGAGTTGCGAGGTGTTGCTTCGCGCCAAAAATTGACTTGGCCTGGGCTCGGCTGCAAGGGGAGAGAGGGAGCTCGACTGAGCGCAATACAGTGTGGATAGTGCGGGCTGTTGGGCCGATGCGCGACGGCTTCGCGGCGTTGACTGGGTGCAACGGTGTACAGTGCGGGGCAACCGCGTCACGACGGCCCTGGAAGGTTTCTCAGTGACATTCGGAAGACATGGTCGTCCAGTGAATCAATCGTTCATCCAACTTCCCCTCTAGTAAACTTCACCTCTAGCAGCAAAATATCCACTCATCGGGTGCTCGCGTAGCTCATGGAGGCGCTGTCGTCCTCCCCGAAACCAGCGATATGGGGATCACACCTTCACGCTGTTGCCCACCTGGCTGACTCCGAGCCGTCGAACCACCACAGCGACTCCTCTTACGTGCCTCGTCATGGCAAGGATGGGACAAAGCTACAAAGCTGACAGCACAGAAGCAGTGCCACAAGATCCAAGATCCGGGCCAACGACCGCACCACCAACCATCGTCCAATGCCTCATGCCGAGGACCGGCCCCTTTTCAGATCTCGCCCGTGGCCCGCACCAGATCTCACAAAGATTGCCGAATGGCACACCATCACACGTAATCCGATCTTCGAAATGATCCTCTTGAGAAAAGAGAAACACCGTGCACATCCCGGGCCTTTTGCCACAGTCACACGAACAGTCAGAGCCGAAAGCGCCCGGTATCCAACTCCAAGGCGACGCCGGATGAGAACTCCGTCCGACGAGCAGTCTGACACGGTTTCCGTGACGAGAAACACGGGGTGGCACAGAGCTGGCGCCATGGATGAGGCGCGCAACGGCCGGCCCTCGCGTGACTGGCGAGTGAGTGTTTGTTCGGAGGAACTCGACGTCGTGGGATACACGCCCGTCAGGTCATGCCGGGCGTCGTCGATCCCAATGCGTCGTCCTCTTCAGCGGAAGACTTCTGTATAGAGGCAAGTGGCTTATTCCAACGGATGACGAGCCTGTTCCGAGATGCTCTCCTCGCATTCGAGATCGCCATCCGACCCTCGTCCACAGCTCAAGGCGGCAACAACAAGCGAGGCCTAGAGTCGGATCTTGTATAAGAGCGACAAACCTCCTCTGGGACTCGAGATCTTGTGAAGCCAGGGCACCTGTCTTTCTTTACTTCTATATACATACAAGTCCATATTGTTGCAGCCATGCTTGCCCACTACCTGTTTGCCCTTGTGCTCGCGGCGTGGACTCCCCTCGCGGCCGGCAAGCCCACGTCGACCGGCCCCCCGGATGCAACCGCCTCGGCCGAATGGTTCCTCTGCGATCTCCTCGGATGTGCCAGCGAGACGACGGTCACGAGGACCAGGTGGCGGACTACCACCACTACCGCTACTGCGTCCATCACCCTGACGGTGTCGCGGACGTGCGAGCTTGGCTCGACGACGACTCCCGTCGTCAGCAGCACTGCCGTCACCACTTCCAGCAAGGCTACCCTGACGACGACGACGAGCAGTGAGATCGCCTCGGGCAGCACGACGACCGCTCTTAACACGACTCTCATCTCGACGTCCATCTCGTCGGAGGTCCCGACCTCGATCGCCACCTCGTTCCCATTTACCAACACTACAACGGCACCAGCCACCACCATGATCACTTCTGCTCCCTTCACGAACAGCACGACGGCGCCAACCACCTCCATCGCCACGTACAGTCTCTCGTTGAATTCAACCTCGACGTCTGGCACAACCGTCACCCTGACATCGGCCTTCACATCGTCCTCCGTCATAAGCAGCGTTCCGGCCTCCTCCAAGACTTCTTGGATCCCCATCACCAACAGCACATCCAAGCCCAGCACCACCGCCGTCAGCAGCACCCGGTGGTTGAACACGACTCGGACATCTGCCGCGACCACAACCCCGACGTCCAACATTACATTGTCGTCGGTCTCAAGCAGCTTCCTAAACTCCTCCACCACGGTGTCCCGCATCGCCAACGGCACCGTCACCATCACTCCCAGCACGACACTCACGCCAACCTCAGGCTTCCCATCGTCCTCGGTCGTCGTGACCACCACCGCCGGCAGAAGTGTCCCCTCCCCCTCCAAGCTCCAACCCTTCGAGTGCCTCACCGACGGCTACCTCATCCAGTCCAAGACCCTCCTGCAAGTCAACCTCCGCACCGGCGCGCGGCGCGTCCTCGCCACCGGCGTCGGCGGCCACGGCGTCCCGGGCATCAACTCGCTCGGCTACAACCCGCTCGACAACTACCTCTACGGGACGCAGGGCCAGGCCCTCGTGCGCATCGGCCGCGACGGCCGCACCGAGCCCGTCCTCGCCCTCCCCTCCGCCGCCAACCTCGGCGACGTCGACATCGCGGGCCAGTACTTCTTCAGCGACTCGGGCGCCGCCTGGGGACAGGTCGACCTCGCGCCTGGGTCTCCCCGCTACGGGCAGCTCGTCGCCGCGGGGAATGCTACGCACGGCGGGCTTAGGAGGCTCTCTGACTGGGCCTTCACGCCGGCGCACCCCGGGTACGCGTACAGCGTGGCGATTGATAATCGGCGCGTGCCGACGCTGGCGCGCTGGTCGACTGAGACGCATGAGTGGGAGACGGTGCGCTGGTATGACGATACGAAGCTTAGGGCGACGCTGTTTGGCGCCGTTATGGCTACGTCGGATGGCGTCGTGTACGCATCCGACAACGCCAGCGGGCAGATATTCAGGTTTCCCCTGAGGGATCCTGCGAGCGCGTCCAAGGCGGGTGTCGGTCCGCGGGCGCGGTCCAGCGACGGTGCTCGATGTGCTCTTGTGCCTGATGCATCGGAGTAATCAAGTCGGCGAGGACCCAGCCGCGTCGCCTGTTGCTACCTGTAGAATCATGCAGAGTGTGACTTGATATGTCAATGTTGATGGGGTTCTTTCGTTCCATAGCATAGCACAGGCCTCTGCCAATTTACTACTGTGCCATTGAGTATCTCCGAGAACCAGTGCGTGCTGGTAGTGATCTGTACTGGCACCGTCAAGTCTGTGCCAGAGAACATGTGTTGTTGGCATCTCTCGCCTCATCTATTCCCACTGCCCTAAAAAAGACATCCCGTGTGCCATTGCAACTCCAAACATCGGCCCAAGATCCATTCTGCCATGTAACAGGCGCGTATGCGTGCCCAAATCCGTACAATCGCTTTTGCTTTTTCATCCAATGACTGATAAGACAGGAAACCTCACGACCCAGCCTAGGCTTTGCCGTTGGCGCCCGTGACCTTGCGTCTCTGCTTGACGGCGTCGGCGAGGGTGTCGAGCACTGACTCGGTGTCCTGCCAGTGGATGCAGGCGTCGGTGATGCTGACGCCGTACTTGAGGCCGGCCTTGCCTTCCTCGGGGACCTTTTGGTTGCCTAGGCGCGCGTGACGGTTAGCTTGGTGTACTTTGTGGTGCTTTGCGGTGCAAGCTCTGTTCTCGACTCACCCTCCTCAATGTTGCTCTCAATCATGACGCCCATAATGGCCGTCTCGCCGCCGGCAATCTGCTCGGCCAGGTTGGCGGCGACCTTGGGCTGGTTCTTGTGGTTCTTGAGCGAGTTGCCGTGGCTGCAGTCGACCATGAGGCGCTGAGTGACGCCCTTCTTGGCGAGGGCGGCCTTGGCCTCGGCGATGCTCTGGGCGTCGTAGTTGGTGCCCTTGGTGCCGCCGCGGAGGATGACGAAGCAGTCCTCGTTGCCGGTGGTGCCGACGATGGCGACGACGCCGGGCTTGGTGACGGAGAGGAAGTGGTGGGGGTGCTTGACGGCGCCGATGGCGTCGATGGCGACGCCGAGGGAGCCGTCGGTGCCGTTCTTGAAGCCGACGGGGAAGCTCAGGCCGCTGGCCAGCTCGCGGTGCAGCTGGCTCTCGGTGGTGCGGGCGCCGATGGCGCCGACGGACAGTAGGTCGGCGAGGAACTGGGGGGAGATTGTGTCGAGCATCTCGCTGGCGATGGGCATGCCCTTGGCCGTCAGGTCGACGAAGAGCTGGCGGGCGAGGCGCAGGCCCTTGTTGATCTTGAAGCTGCCGTCAATGTCTGGGTCGTTGATGAGGCCCTTCCAGCCGACCGTGGTGCGGGGCTTCTCGAGGTAGGAGCGCATGACGATGAGCAGCTCGTCCTTGTGCTTCTCCTTGGCCTGGAGCAGCAGGTCGCAGTACTTGAGGGCAGCCTCGGGGTCGTGGATGGAGCAGGGCCCGACGACGACGAGCAGGCGCTGGCGCTCATCCTTGTCGCCGACGACGGCGGCCACCTCCTCTCGCGACTCGATGACCGTCTTCTTGGAGGCGGGCGTCTGGGGGATCTCGTGCTGGAGCAGGTCGGGGGGCGTCAACGGGTTGTAGCCTCGGACTGGGCAGCGAGAGCAGAGGGTTAGCTGGGTCCTGCCGGTGGGTAGGGTCGCGAGAGACGCGGGGGGAACCGACTTCTCCAATCCTCAGAGTCCTCCTTGTTGCCGACATTTTTGTTTTCAATGTAGAACTGCTTGGTTGCCACCGTGAGTCACCCCACCTCGACGGGAAAGAGGGCATCGCGGGGTACTGGTGAGCTACTGACCGACATTGTGAGGGCGGTGGGTGCCTGCGCTGCTGCAGGGAATCAATTGCGCGTGTAGATGAAGGGTCGTTGGCGGATTGACGATCGAGGCTGGCGAGCGAAGATGAAGGAGGACGACGGACGAGGGAATGGACTCGAGAGGAGAGGAAGCTGCTGCATCCAGACAGGAGTCAGTCACTCAGACATCCCAGCGCATGGATGTGCTCCAAAAAATAAAGAATTGCTTGCCCAGCAGCGCCGGCGTCGGCGAGCCCTGACGGCGGGTTGCTCTGTGCCCAATTGGGCCGCGGCCATTGGCTGAGGTGGTGCTGGGGCTGGTCCGGTCCCCTGTGGGCTGTCCCTACAGGGGGGTGGCTGCCCACCTATGTTAGAGACTTGCGGTTTCCATCACATCGTGGGCTGTCCTGCAAGTACCGACGAGGCCTCTGACGCAGATGGACCCTGTGGAATTGGAGCAGAGTGGGATGGCAACTGGGCCAGGTATTCGCTGGTGAGGCCGGCCCCGCCACTTGCACTCTTCCTGCACTGCAGACAAAGCCTCACGTCGAGCCGTTTCCTCACCATGGCGGCCGCTAGAGGCCCTGCAACCCACCCAACGACGTCGACGAAATTCGACAGTGGGCTGGCACATGCGAGCCTTGCGTCATTCCAGCGTCTGGTCAGTGGCCCACTGGGCCCACCGGTCCGAGCAAGTGCACCTAGGCGGGCTGCCCGGCCGCTGTCGCCGCCGGCGGGATGGAAGGTGGCTACAGTCAGCACTGGACTGCACTGTACAGTACTGTACTGTACCAGTCCGTGCAACCGTGGTTAGGTGTGGTGCTTGTGGTTGATGGACACCGCAGCTGATGACTCGCGGCAAAGCTCATCATGGCAAGGGCTCGCTCGGTTGACACGACACGACCCGACACGATACGCGAGACACGCGCTCGCCGGGACCCTTGACAACGACATGGATTCGACACGGCATCGACACTTGACATCTGCCCGCGTCCGGGTCCCTGCGCCCTTCCTGCCGACTGACACGCCCGCCTGCCGCAGCGGGCCGATGCTCTGTCCCGCGCACCGTCCGGCGGCGCTCCATTGGCTGAGCGACATCGGCTGGGAGCCGTCCCGGTCAGCAGCACCAGCCAGCCAGCCAGCCAGCCAGCCATGTCGGCCAGCTGTCAACCACCTCCCTCACCCGACCGGCGACGACGACTCAGACTCATCACACTTCCATCAGATTTCGGACACGCATCGTCATTCAATCTGCATCTGCACAGCACAGCAGACAGTACAGTACAGTACTGTACCAAGCGACGACCTTGACAATGCAGCAGCGCCACCACGACCGCGCATCATCGGCCCGACAACTGCCTCTCTAGCCAATGTACTCGTCCCGGATGAGCGTCTCCCACGGCCGCCCTTCCTCCCACACCGCCTCCATCAGCCTCCTCGCCCGCCTCACCTGCTCCATGCCGCTCCGCTCCGCGCTCTTGAACCTCGCCAGCACCTTGCTCCGCTGCCCCTCGTCGACCGCCTCGCACCCTGCCGTAAACATGGGGAACACCATGCCCAGCTCCGCCGCGCCTCCCGCTCTCGTCTGCTCCAGGCAGTGCACCATCTGCTCGACCGCCGCCTGCACGTCTGCGTCCGTCGAAGCCCTTCCCAGCACACGCCGGTGAAGGTGCGCCCGCCCTGCCCAGTGGAACGCCTCGTTGGTCGCTGCCATCTCCGCCAGGTCCCTCATCTGGATGTTGCCCGTCCGCACATGCATGCACGGCTTCGACGACGTCTTCATGCTCTCCCTCAGCTCCTGGTCCAGCGCCAGCGCCGCCTCGATGGTCCGCGTGTGCGGCACCCACCCCGGGAGCAGCTGCCCGCCCGGCCCTATCCGCTCCCTGTCGCATCGCCTCGCCATGTCTGCCACCTGGCCCAGCAGCCTGGCGCACCTCGCCGAGTAGCCCATGATGCAGTCAATCTCGTCCAGCTCCGGCATCAGCGCCGCCATGTCCAGCGGCAGGATGCGGCAGGCCGCGTCGTCCGTCGGCGGTGGGCTCAGCATGCCGTGCATGTTGGCGCGCGCGATCCAGCTCCGGATGAAGAGCCGCTCATCCTCGAGCCGTCCTTCAAATCCCGCCTCGCCAAGCTGTTGCACCCGCTTCGTCATGAGCCCGCTTGCCAGGTTCAAGTGCTGGCGCCACGAAATACCCTGGCCCAGCGCCCCGGGAGACATGATCTCAAGCGACGCCAGCATGACCGCCATGGCTAGCGTGGTGTCCGAGACAGGCTGCTGCCCGTCACCTAGCGACTGTCTAAGGCCCGGGAACACGTCCTGCGCCCACTCGGCCATTCGCATCTCGGGCACCTTTGTCTGCATCCAGCGTGACCGGTGCGCCGCTGCGTCCGTCAGCGTCAGCGAAAACAAGGTCTTGAGGGACAAGCGGCAGCCGCACCAGAGTAGGCGAGGAGAAGGCTCATGAGTCCCTCATTCTGAAACGCCATCTGCGGAAGCGACCTGCTCATTGGATTTGAGTCGGCGTCGTGATATGGCACGAGCACTGTTTGAGACGTCAACATGGTCGGTCCATCTCGATATGCTCAGTCCCTGTACTTACCCCTGGCCGTGTGGTTGATAAAGTGATGCTGAGTTACACCATCAGCACAAGGGGGGCTTGACTCGGATCGTCAGTTAGCCACTTACAAAATACTGCATGATCGCAGGGTCAGCTGACCGTCATCGACTGCAGACAAGGGCAGGGGCTTACCAGCAGGTTCATCTTGTTGTTTCTCAGCCTGGACCGCGTCAGTTGGCCTCGTTCTACTGGCAGGGCCGCCGGGTGGCTCACTTGTCTGGCAGCGGTTCCAGCTCCCAGGGGATCAAAATGGGCACCGCCTCGTCATAGTAGCCGCTGTCGGTTCGGCCACCGCTGGCGGGAGGCTGCTTTCCAGCCAAGTTACTCGAGTTTACGGCCCAATGGTATGGCTCACATCCCATCGGGGTGACGAGGGAGATGGCACCGTCGTCATCATTACTCGCTACGTCCTCGTCCCGCCTGCCCAGGTCATAGCCGTGGAATCGCCGCCCGTCTTCAGCCTCAGGGAGCGGCTGAGGGCCGGTGTACCAACCCGACAGGTCGCCCGAGTCGACCATGTCGCTACTCACCGAGAGCCTCGAGTCTGGCGACCCGAGGGGCACCTTGTCTAACCAGTGAGACTGGCAGAGAATGTCGTCGCTGTACGAAGACGCTGCGGGTGTCAGAGGCAGGTCAGGCACCACGGGAGACGCCGTCACGTTGGTCATGAATGGGCTCGACGACAGGCGCGCCTCGCCGAGGTCGAGCTTGCGAAGCTCCGTGAATGACTTGGCCTTGCTGTGCCGCGCATCTTGTGTCGGAGACGCCTCATACGTTCCGAGCGCGGGCGAGTCCACCGAGAACAAGCCGTTCAAGTCGCCAAATCGTTTCCGCGCCGCAAATGCCGCTTGGGAAGGCGTCTCATCCACAAAGGTCAGCTCTCCGCAAGTCGAGCGTCGTTTCTTGGCCGCAGGCGCGGGCATGGGTTCCGGAGAGTCCGTCTGTCGCGAGACGGGCTCGCTCGCCAGAAACTGCGGCGATCCGGCCGACGTGGGCGTCGCCGTCGCAAAGGTGTTGAACCACAGCTCCTGCCCGAGAGCCTGGGCGGAGCCGTCAAAGTCGGGCGCCTCGGGGCGCGAGCGCTTGGTCCGGCGGCCCTCCCAGTTCAGACGGATGCTGTAGTCACAGACATCGCCCGTCTTGAGACAACTGACCGAGCGGAAAAGGAAAAAGGAGAGAATGTAAGTGGACGTTGCACACACGTCGACGCGTAGGTCTCGCGGGGGGGATTTATCTCCTCCCAGTGGCAACTTACTTTTTGCACGCGGGATGCTCCTCTCCGCACTTGACTTTGCGTGATTTACATGGCCTGCACGATGGTCAGGAACTTCGCCCTTTGCTGGGTAGGTAAGTGGTCGCGACGAGGAGCAAGAGGGGCGCGGCTCACCAACACCCCTTGCGGCTGCGGCGCTTGCGCTGCGTCGCGCGTGCGGGACTTGGACGCGGCATTCTGGGGGCTGCTGTTTGCTGCTGCTGCTGCTGCTGCCTCTTGTTGCTGCTGCTGCTGCTAGAGCCGCTTCTCATGTGCCCTGTGCTCTACCTTGCGTCGCCCAGACTACGAATCTGCTTCTCTACTGCGGGATGCGCCGTCACCTGTTGCCGGGTGATGACGAAAAGTGGCAGAGGCTATTGGGTGGTGAAAGTGGCAACGACTCAGGCATGCTCCCCTGTCGCGTGTCGTCGTCCTCGTGCTCGTAGTCGTAGCTGCTGGTGTCGTGAAGAGTCCCGTAGGCGTAGTAGTATGTTCGGCTCCGAGCCATGGAGCCTGCGCGGTCGTGCTGGCGGAGGCGGAGACAGAGACGGAGGAGGAGGAGGTACAGCGGCACGTAGAGACAGGGGGAAAAAAGGAGAACAGCAAACGGCAGGTCAACGTCCAATCCAAGGCGGCGGATATATATTGAAATCCACGGCATTGCCTCTGCTTACATGCGGTCTTTCCATGCTGCGCTCGCCCGCGTCCGTCCCGCGAGGCCTTCGCGATCTTTGCGCCTGTCGAGAAGATGGTGGTCAAACGTCGACGACGACGAACAAGGGTTCTGTCTTCAGCTAGGGCCCTTAGGCCCACACGCCGTTGGCTGGCGGGCCCTTGGGGCCGCATCCGATCCGCCATGTCCTGCCAAGCTTGCGCCTGCGCTCCTCCCACGGGTGGCCCGTCGGGCCACCCGCTCCTGTTAGGCGAGACACGGCGTCGCCTAAGGGCTGATGATGTGGCGGGGGTGGTTTGCGTGCTCGATGCAACTGACCGACAGCCCGGTCGGGTGGTCGACAGCAGTGCGAGCCATGCGTGCGTGGCCTGTCGTGCGACGTCGGAGGCGGGCGGGCGCATCGCAGATCCCGGTGGTCTGGCCCAGCGGCGCTGAGATGGGACCGGGATCATTTCGCCCGCCTCAGCTTCACCTCGCTGGCGTTGGTGGCTGGCCCTCCAAGCCCCCCCCACGACATGAGTCCCAAGTTGCGTGACCACCCCCGTGGTGCCCTGCCCATCCTCCATCACCATTACCAAGAAACGAAGCCCAAGCCCGTGAGCCGAGCCGGTGGAAGACGGAACGAATGAGGCCAGGGCAGCCCTGTCTCGCTAACCGCGGCTGAGAGGCGGGCGGGCGCTCGCCGCTGGCAGCGTTACCAAATGGGGTAACCCGGCATTTGGCCCCGATCGCGCCGCGGCTATTGCCAAGTATCCTGATTCCTGCTCCGCAGTTGCTGCCCATGCATCTCTACATTACGTCAATGTTGAGGATCTTGATGTCTTCCTCCGGCTTCTCCTTGTAAGTGCGCGCGTTCTCAATCTTCTGGATCACGTCGAAGCCCTGGGTGGCTCGGCCGAAAATCGTGTGCTTGCCGTCAAGCCAGGGCTGTCATGAAGGCGGAGAAAAACGTTAGCTGATGTTCTGCCCGTCGTTGCCGACATGCTCCTGCGCGAGAGCGCGGGCGCATACGCAGCAGGGGTTCGCCGCAGGTTCAAAATAGCGCGCGGCGTGCCGCTGGGGTAATGTGCGGAAAAAGCACACAGGGTTGGCCGGGGGGTTGCGTGACCAGTTGCCACTTACCGTCTTCTCAGTCGTGATGAAGAACTGACTGCCGTTTGTGTTGGGCCCCGCGTTGGCCATGCTGACAGTGAAAGGCTTGTCGTGCTTGAGGCTGCTGAACTCGTCCTCAAACTCGCGCCCCCAGATGCTCTCGCCGCCCGTCCCGTCACCGAGGGGATCGCCGCCCTGGATCATGAACTTGCGGATGACACGGTGGAAGATGGTGCCGTTGTAGTAGCCGTTCTTCGAGTGCGTCACGAAATTCTCGACGGCCTTCGGTGCCGCATCGGGGAAGAGGCGGATGTGGATGTCGCCGTAATTGGTATGGACGACTGCAGACTCCCCTGTCTCTCGACGCTTTGCATTGCCCTCCTTTTTGTTGGCTCCGCCCAGCGTCGTCGGTCGCTCATTTTGGATGTCACGGGTCGACTTGGAGATGTCCTCCTCGTTGCTGAACATGTAGAAGCGCTGCTTGCCTGCACCCGTTGCCACCAGAATAGGATCGCGAGTCTCCGACTCCTGCAGCAGCGGATTGCTCGACGCGCCCATTTCCACCGAGACTATGCCCTTCTTCTGCGGCTGGCCCTGGTACAGAGCGAGGTTGACGGCGCGAAAGTGCTCGTCTTTACCATAGACCCTGACGACTTGGTTCGTGTACGTGTTGAGGACTTTGATGCCGAGCATGGAGCCGTAGAAGATGAAGTTGCCTGACTCGTCGAAGATGATGTTGGACTTGTTGCGCAGCGTAGCTGATTCCACATCCTTCTCCTGCGCTAGCCGTCGCCCAAACTCGACGTGGTCGAGCTTCTGCGACGAGGCACCGGCCTGCTGCATCTCCTCGATTGCCTGCAGCGACTCATCGTAGGTGCGTTGAAGCTTGGCGGTTGCGAAATCAAAGATGCGGACCTTGCGGTCAGGATAGGAGAACGTCGCAAGGCTGTTGCCGTTGGGGGATATCGTCAAGCAAGAGGGTATCGATTTGGCCTTTTTGAAATCGAACAGGTTCGTGGAGCTCTTGTACTCGAAGACGTTGTCCGGCTTCTCGTAGGAGCCGCCTGGGCGCCAGTACTCTACCATGCCGTTCTCGTCGGCCGAGACAACGCAGTCAAATGCATCGTTGTACGCCATGAGGTGAACGGGGCTCCGATGCAGGCCCTTGATGGTATGTATCGGGTCCTCGCGGTCGCCCCGTCCGTCGAAAATGTGTATCAGAGGTTTCGTCGACTCGGAGACCGCCAGTTGCGGGAACGAGGCGCCTTTCTGATGGACCCAGCAGACGGCTTTGGGGGTGAACTTGAGGTTGAGCATGGACAGCAGGTCAAACGTAACCACGTCGAATATCTTGATGGAGTCGTCCGTGCCGACAGTCGCGAAGCTGCGGCCATCCCTGCTGACGGAGACGGAGGTGATCTCCCCGTTGTGCGCCTGAAACTGCTTGACGAACTCGATGCCCTGAGCAATCTTCTTCCAGAACTTGACCACGCCGTCGACGGAGCAGGTTATTAAAAATTCGGTGAGCGGCGTCCATGTGGCGAACAGCAGCTGGTCCTTGTGCATGAGGGATCGCGAGTAGCGTGCGGACTTGGGCAGGGCGGCCACGTAGAGCTTCTCGTAGGGCAGAACGCGGCGCTTCTTCTTGGGAGCGGCCTCGGAGGGCAGCTGGGGGCCCATGTCGTCGTCGGACGAGGAGTCTGGTCGTTATTAGAGGCTGGGGAGAGATCATGGCACGACAGCGGGCGCTCAAAACGTACCAGAGGCATCTTGGCCGGCGAACTCGTCGTGGGTGCGCTTCTGTGAGCGATTGTCGTCTTCGGCCGCCGATCCCGCCATCTTGCCGCCCGAGAAAGGATGCGCAAAAGAGAAAGATAGCAAGGGCTGCAGAGAGAGGTGGAAGGGGGGTTGGGCCGGGGCGCGGGCAGGAAGGGCAAAGTAAATAGGTCGTTGTGGACGTGCGAGGCCGGATGATGGAAGCCAGTTCTGGGTTTTGGGCCAGGCCAACATCCCATATTTTTCAGCCTTGCGCGGGAAGCAGAGCAGAGCTCCAGGGCAGGTGCCACTACCCCACGGGTGGGGTGCGTGCCGCCACATGGGGAAGTTGCAGCCCAGAAGAAGAATGCCAGACGCCCCCGATGCTTGGACCTGCCTGCATCCATTGGCCCTGAATGCCTGCATTATCATTCTGGTCTATTGCTGCGAGCCCAATGCCTTATCTGTTCCTCTATTTCAAAGATCAAACTGTTTATTTGAATATTTGGTAGACTGAATGCGACGTCCCCGAGCCCAAGTTAGGTCGCAGAGGCTCGGCACACTCGGTACGAAGTGATGGCCCGTTGCGAGATGGCGAAAGCTCCACCAGGAGCTACCTCAAGGAGGACGTCATCCCCATTCATCCGTCCCGACCCTGGATCTTCAACATCGACGCCTCCCCTTCGCAACCTCAGCGCAAGCCGTTGAAGCCCCCCCAACCACCATGGCCGCTCAGCATCGCCTCCAGCGCCTGGCCTCCCCCTCGCCCTCCTTCTCGCTCCTCCTCCACCTCGCGGGCATCGCCTCCTTCATCTACAGCTTCTACTTCCTGACGATATGGGAGACGCCCTTTGACGAGGCCTACGGATGGCACTTTCAGTTCCTCACCATCATCGGCCTCGCCGTCTCACTGCTCTGCTTCCTGTCCGGGGCTGTCGCCGACGTGACGGGCAGCGCCGTGCTCTTCGACCTCAAGAACGCCCTCGCCGTGCTCGCCACGCCCCTCGAGGTCGTCATCTCCCTCCTCTACTGGGGCATCAGCGCCGTCGACCCGGAGCTCCTCTTCGTCGGTGAGCTCACCCTGCCGCTGACCGCCGACGTTGGGTTCCACCTCGCGCCCGCCGTCTTCCTCACGCTGGACCTCGTCCTGCTGAGCCCGCCGTGGACCGTCCCCGCGTACGGGGTCATGAGTCTGAGCACCGTCTTTGCCTTTGGGTACTGGTACTGGGTCGAGCTCTGCTTTAGCAAGAACGGATGGTGCGTATACAATTACCCTCTCCTGGCCGTTCTTGTGCTCATCAGACGCAGGTATCCGTATCCGCTGTTCGGCCTGCTGTCCACCGCGCAGCGTATCCTTCTCTTTGTTACCTCCGCGGCGCTCGTCACTGTGTCGTCCGGCGCCCTCAAATGGGTGTATGGAAATTTCAACGGCTATGAAAACGCCAGAAGAGAGCCTCATAAGCCGATGACAAAGGTACAGTAAAAAAATGCGATGCAACAGCACGCCTTCGGGAAAAGATATGGGAACGCCTTGCAGACGCATTTGCTATTAGAGAGGATGTCCTTGTGCAGACATTCTGCGCTTACGCTCGGGCTACACGTGGAGAGACGAAGATCAGAGATGCAGATACCACAGCGCCGAAGAAGAAGGCTTGTGGCAGTTTCAAAGATGTAAACTTGAGCAGTTGTGAGCCTCGGTTGGTGCATGTATTTCAACACCGCCTCGCATACATGAGGAGCGGTCTATCTGGCGTTGTCCCCGAATACTTTTCAACCTTGGCATTGAAAGCAGCGCTTCCATCTTGCGGCCCTTCGCGAGGAAGCGATTCGCGGCGTGGTTGTACCCTGAAACCTGCCGTAGCGCTCATAGGTTGGCCTTCGTATCGCCTGGGTACTGCGCGCGTCGCAGCATTGACCGCTGCAGGTCTGCGACACTCTTCACACCCGCGAGCCCCATGGTCAGGTCGAGGTCGGCGAGCAGCCCAGCCAGGACAGCCTCCGCGCCGGCCGTACCGTCAATGCCTAGCCCATAGACGATCGGACGACCGACAAAGACTGCCTTTGCTCCGAGGGCGAGGGCCTTGACCATGTCAGCCCCGGTGCGGATGCCCGAGTCGAACATGACGGTGATTTGCTTGCCAACGGCGTCGACAATATCCGGCAGCACATCGAGCGCCGCCACCGCACCATCAATCTGGCGGCCGCCGTGGTTGCTGACGATGATGCCGTCCATGCCGTATCGAACGGCAAGGTTGGCGTCCTCGGCACTGAGGACACCCTTCAGAATGATGGGGCCGTCCCAGTACTTGCGCAGGACCGCGAGATCCTCCCAGCTGCGGCTCACGCCGGGGAAGCTCTCGCTGAGCCAGTACATGGCGGCACCGATCTTGTTGTCCTCGGGCGTGTCGCCGTCTGTGCGCTCGGCGAACTTCTTGCGGAAGACGGGATCTTGGAAGCCAACCTCGTCGCCTTCGCCGACGATGAACGGCACGTTGGCGGTGTCGAGATCCCATGGCCGCCAGCCGAGAGTCCAAGTGTCGAGAGTGACGACGAGGGCCTTGTAGCCATTGGCCTTGGCGCGGCCGAGGATGGACGCTGTAATCTCCTCGTCCAGGGGCCAATAGAGCTGGAACCACTTGGGGCCGTCGGGGCTGGCCTTGACGAGCTCCTCGATGCTCGTCGACGCAGCAGTGCTAAGGGTGAAGGGCACACGAAGGTTGGCACACGCGTTGGCCGTGCCGATCTCCTTGTCTTCATGATAGAGGGACTGCACGCCGATGGGGGCCATGAGGACAGGAGTGTCTGTGCCGCATCGTTAGTGCCGGTGCTGGGGTTTATGGCCTGAAGACATGGTGAGAGCATACCATACTTGTGCCCGAAGAGCTCGACGCTCAGGTCGCGGGGGTTGGTCGGGCGCAGGACGCGGGGGATAATCTTCCACTGTCGAAAGGCCAGGCGGTTGGCATCCATAGTGGCCGACTCGCCGGCGCCGCCCTTGATGTAGTCGAAGCCCTTGGTGGGCATTGCCTTTTGAGCCTGCTCCTCGAGGCGATTGGGATTGGTGGTCACGAGTGGTAGCTGGCCGCCTAGGATGCCCTTTTGCATCACCTCCCGCAGGTAGGCGGCATAGGGCACGACCTCTCCGTCGTCATTATTGCCGTCGGCCATGGTGGCGATGAGCTGCTGCGGAAGACGCAAGTCTCTGAATGGCCTCGGGCTTGGAAATCAAGGTCGAGGAGCAGTTGAAAGTTGTGCAAGTGGGAGTTACAAAGTCCGGGGCCCCGGACTCAATGGCAGGAGCGGGTGGGGAGCTGCTCCCCGCGTTGTGATGGGGACTAACATTAGCCATTAGTGAACCGATGCCATGGACCTCGGCAAGTGCCCAGGGGGAAGGAATTACTGTCTGCTCCTGCCTTGCTAGGGTCGTGTTAAAGCATGGTTTTGATGCAGCATGCAGCTCATTCGAGAACGGTTACGGACTCGACGAACCCCTCCACATCTGAGTGACATGCGGCAATGAGCCTTTGTTTGTTCAATGGACGAGCTCAAGCTCATGCGAAGGCGTTCATCGCGCCCGCCATGTTCGGGATAGTGGAGCATCTGGTTGACATGCCCGGTCGGAGCTGCGACCCCACTCCAGAGTCGGACGTCGGTGCAACGAAGCCCGACCATGGACAACGAGGGCCGTCCAGTTCAACACAACGCTACTTGGAAAAATAGGCAAATCGTTCAATTGATGGTATTTCTTTAGATATTTTCAAATTCGACCGGGCTGTCACCGGATGAATCGAACTGTCTGCTCTCCCGCCTACCGTCACCCCTTCGCAGCACTTTACGCGCCCAAACACCAAAAACCCCACATAGAAAAGCACCTCCCCAAGTCCCATCATGAAATAGCCATCTCACCTCTCCCTCACCCCGGCGACCTCCCCTCCCCCAACTCCCACTCGCCGCCGCCGCCCGCCCGCTTCCTCCTCCCTGGACGACCGTCGCGTGCGCGCGCCCGGGCATGGACATCGACGACATCCTCCGGCAAGTCGACCCCGCGGCCGACGGGATCCCGCAGGGGACGCGCGACCTGCAGGCCCTGACGCGTCGCTGGGTCGCCGAGCGCTCGGCGCCGGAGCTCCTCCAGTAAGGCCGCCTTCACTCGGGTGCTGAGGAGGGTCTTGCAAGTATGCGAGAGGAGACTAATGCGTGTTGTTGCTGTTGCTGTTGTGCAGATGGCCCTCGGATGGGCTCTTTGAGCGCGTCTCGCAGCGCATCAAGGACCAGATTGAGCGCGTCGAGGACATGACGGGCGATATGGACCCCAAGACCAATTTTGCCCTCATTGTCATACAGACGGAGCTGGAGCGCTACAAGTTCCTCATGCGGAGCTACCTGCGCGTCCGCATGTCCAAGGTGCGTGCGCCTGCTTGCCTCACATCCACCTCAATCTCACTCTCACCCTCTCGCCCCTTCACCTCGCCCTCACCCTCACCCTCACCTCACCCTCGAAGCCCTGCTGCTCACAGCAACCTCACACAACCCTCCGCGCACAAGCCCAAACTAACAAACCACCTCCCCTCCTTCCCCCACCACGCAGATCGACAAGCACACCCTGCACTACCTCTCCTCGCCGCCCCTGCGCGAGCGCCTCTCCGCCACGGAGCTCGCCTACGCGACGCGCCACCAGGCCCTGCTGCACAACCACTACCTCTCCTCCTTCCTCGCCTCCTTCCCGCCGCAGCTGCAGAACCTCAACGACACGGCCGGCAACGTCAGCATGCTCGACGGGCCGGACCTCGACGCCGCCGTCTTCGTCCGCGTGCTCCGCCCCCGCGACGTCCACGGCCGGGGCACCGACGCAGACAACACCCTGCCTGCCGAGGCGGGCGACGTGCTGATTCTGCGGTGGTCGAGCGCGAGGGAGCTGGTCGACGAGGGGGACGCGGAGCTGGTGTGAGGAGTGGACTAGAGGCGCGGCATGACTGAGTGGACGGACGGAGATGGGGGCCGAGAAAGATGGCAATTGATGGCATGGGAACGAAGGGGGATAAAAGCGGGCAAGGGTATTAGACGGAGCATCACACACGCTTCTGCATGGGTTTAGGGGGGCAGCATCATGACGATTCACGGCGTTATCGGCGGCGCATTGATGGACGGGACGACGCGCAGACTGAGATGGAGCCTAGGGATTCATCCAAACCACAAAGGCTTCGTTGCAACGGAAGAGGTGCGCCTGACTTCCAATAGAGATTTGATTTTATGAGAGACGTGATCAGACGCTACTCTATGCAAGTAATTATAACCCAGACATCACCGTAGCCACACCTCCATTGTATAACTCGACCTCCTAACTCCGGATATGCCATAGCCGAATCTTGCCCGCGTCGTTACCCACCGCCAGCAGCCCGCTGTCCCGCCCAAACGCCACGGCGGTGATGCGCCCCAGCGGCGTCTGCGCCGTCGGCCAGTTGCGGTAGACGGTGCAGCTCGGCAGGTGCACCAGCCGCAGCGCGTCCTTGGTCTGGCGGCTGCCAAAGGCGAGCAGCTGGCCGTCGGGAGAAAAGGTGAGCACCGTGATAGGCGTCACGAGCTGCTCAAAGGTCCGTGTCGGCGTCGGCCGCTCCTTGATGGTGATTCTGTCGTCGCCGCCGTCGCCATCGTTAGTATCTGAAGAGGAGGTGTTTGGCACGATGAGCTCGTTGCGGTCGTAGATGTTGGTGATGCCTGTGTTGGAGCCTACGGCGACCCAGCGGTCGTCACCCAGGGCCTCGGGACCCCGGTGCCCGCCGAGGGCGATGACGATGGCGCCCACGCTGCCGTCGTCCTGCCACACGCCGAGGAAGGACCTGCTCTCCATGCTGTACTCGCCGACCTGCCCGTCCTTACCGAGGATGGTCATGCCGTCGCCCGTGCTCCACCACGCAAAGTCGGCGATGCCGTGTCTGCTCTGCAGCCTCGCCGCCGCGATCCACTGCGCCGTCGCCACGCTGATGACGTTGATGATGCCACCGCCCTTGCGCGATGACGCCACGATGCCCATGTATCGCCCGCAGGGGCTCAGCTTGAACCGCTCCATCGACTTGTGCTCCTCCTGGTGGCCCGCCACCCGCGACGTCTTCTGCACCACGCCCGACGGCAGGTCCCAGTGGTGGAAGTACCGCCGTCGCCCGGCAAAGAAGATCTTGTCACCCTGCGGGTACAGGAACTCGGCGCGTCGCACGTCGACCTGCTTGACCTGCACCGACGTCAACTGCGGGTTGGGCGGCTGCGCGTCCGGTGCGATGTGGTGCAGGTAGAGGATCGAGGCGGTGCTGGCCGACAGGAGGACCGGGTATTCGGGGTGGAAGGAAAGGCACTCGACGGGCATCTTATGCTTGTCGGGGATCTCGCGCGTCCTCTGCATGTCGATGACCTCTGGCCGCAGCGGGCGCTTCTTGGAGCCCCCGCCGAGCCCAGCCAGCTGATTGACGTCGCGGAGGAACTTGTCGAGCGGCGGCGCGGAAGCGTCCTCGTCGTCGCTCCCGCTGGAGTCGCTCGAAGAGCCCGACGCCGCGGAGGAGCGCCGCCGTCTCTTGGTCGGCCGTCCGTCCGACTGCTGAGCCCACGCCGGTGCAGGATTCAGTCGCAAGAATTGCTGTCGCAGTCGCCTGCTGTACTCTGTGCCGCTAATGACATCCTCCGCCTCAGTCGTCCGCAACTTTCGTAGCCTCGTAGCTTTGGCGAGAGAGATTGCCAGCCGCTCGTCGTCGCTGTCCTCCCAAGCGGGGACATCGCCTTGTTCCGTCTTTTTCGACGCCGGTGTGGGTTTTGAGAGGGCAGAGCCTGCGCCCGGCGCGCCCGTGTCGATCATGAAAAGGTCGGCATCCTCGACGTCCTCCATGCCGGCCGTGTCGGCGTCAGCCAGCTCCACATCCTGGTCGTCCGCTCCATCGCCGTACAAGTCGCCGCCGTCTTTGAAGAGGTTTTCCCTAAAGCTCGCCTTGTTGCCGAGGACGAGGCGCTCCAGCTCCTCCTCGTCCGAGTCCTTGTCGAACATGGCGGCGTTGGACGTGGTGTTGATCGCGATATCATCGTCTGAGCTTAGGTCGGACGACATGTCGCTGTCGGATTGCTCCTGGTCGGAGACCCATTGGTCCTTTTCTGCTGCCATTGCGTGCGTGACTCTGGCGTGGCAGGGCGTGGTGAACGGTGCTCACTGCTGGACCAATTTTCGGGCGGTGTTGGAATTTTTTTGGACTTTCGGCCTTCAGCCTTGTAGACGCCCCGCAGCATAATTGTGGGGTGCCTGCTGCACCACCAACCAAATCGCAGTTCCCGCACGAGGCTGAGCGCCAGCGCACGTCGTTCAACTTCTCAAGATGGACCCTGGAAATCCTCCTTGTCCAGTGTCACAACTTACAAGCACAACTGCAACCTGCTCGACATTTTGCCTTGTTTATTATTATTACTATTTTGGCGCTTCGCTATCTCCGGGACGCTGCCCTAGTCAGGTCCTCTTCCAGCTGTCCCAGCTTCGGGTTAACAGACTCGGCACTCTTGAGCGTCAGCACCGCACCCCTCTGCGCCACGTCTATCAGGTGCTCGACGCGCCCTCCCTGGGCCAGCCCAGAGATCAAGACGCCGAGGAACGTGTCGCCCACGCCATTGACTGAGACAATGTCCCGCACCGTCTCCGCCGCCGGGAACATCCTCATGTAGATGCCGCCCACGGACTCGTGGTTCGGCGCAGCGCGCGTCAGGATGTACTCCTCTGCGTCACGATCGCGCAGCAGCGGGTCGTCGCGGCCCAGGAGCATCGTGAGCAAGGCTCCGTCGGCGCCGAGTTTTGTGATGAGGGTGGGTATGTAGGGGAGCAGGTTGACGCATTGCACGGGGACGCCAGCGTCGGTGAGTGCAGGGGACGTGAGGCGCACGAACCGGTCCCGGGCGCCGGTCATGCCGAAGGCGTCGATGACGTCGAACCATTGCCCCAGCTCGAGGTAGCCGTTCTCCTTTGCCGCTGTGTACATGGCCGACAGTTCGTAGATGTTTGGTGAGGCGAGGTCCACGCTGGCACTGGGAAAGACGCCCAGCTTGGGCACCCGTCGCTGAGGACCAAACAGGCCCTTTGACTTTTCAACCGAGACGGGCTCAAAGGCGACTTTGGAGTTGTGGTCTTTTGCCGTCTTGATCCAAGCCTTGATGTCCTTTGCGGCCCAGTTGCCGTCGACGACGGTCCACTTGGGCGACGTGGCCGCCACGGCGGACTCTCGGAGTTCTTCGGAAGCGTGCTGCGTAAAGATGCCCATGTCTGCCATGGCCATGACCAGATTCTTGCTCCCGTCGTTCACTGCAACATACTGCGCGGTACGGCTTCCGGGATGTGACTGCTGGTCCAACTTGCGGACAAAGGCACCCCCGAGGCCGGCAGCCTCCAGGGATGTGAGCACCGTGGACCCAGCCACGTCGTCGCCGACCATACTGCAGAACTGCACTCGGGCCTGCTTGCTCGCCAGATGGGCCGCGAGGGCGACATTGTGGCCGACACCGCCGATGGACTGACTGATCTGGGCTGGGTTCGACGTATGCGGTTGCGGCGCCGTCTCACCAGCCCTGGCGCTCTTGAAGTCACAGCTCAAATCGACAGCCACAGCTCCGGCTACGAGAATATCCGCCTTGGGTGTCACCACAGGCGCGCCACTGATCGCGGGCTCTTTAGCCTTCACAAAAGGTACATTTACGCTATATAACCATGCATTAGAACCCAAAAAGCCTCTTGCGCGATGACGAGTCGAAGCTGGCACTTACGAGCTCATCACCGGCCCGGCACCCGACGTCAACATTCGGGACAGCTCGACGGAGACGTTGGTCGCCCGGATGATGTTGGACGTCACCAGAGCCTTGTTTGCAACGACGGCCTTTTCGCCCGTAATCTCCTTCAACCGCTGCAGCACGTACGGCGTGTTCTTGCTGCCCGTGAAACCCTTTTCCACCGCTTCGCGCACGGCCAGCTCGATCGCGGCGCTCATGTCTGCTGATGGGACGCCAAACTCTTCAGGGATGGGGTTGGCGAAGAGCATGCCCGACTCGATGCCGAGGCGCTCCTGGGCGAGGATCATGGCGGCGGCCTCCTTTTCGGTGTAGACGACGGACGGGCTCTTGGTGCCGCTGTCGCGCGCCCAAAAGGCAGGGAAGTCGATCTTCCCGGTGCGGCCGTCGGCGAAAGTTGATACGAGGCAGCCCTGCGTCTCGAGATACTCGAGAGTGCGGGGGATGTCGAGGAAACCCTTGCAGCCGCTGCTGATGACGGCGACCCGGGTGCGGCCCAGCTCGGTGAGATCGGCGGACACATCCATGGAGCTCTCCCCGCCGCGGTGAACGCCTCCGAGGCCACCAGTGCCGAAGACGCGAATGCCAGCTAGTCTGGCGAGAAGCATGGTGCCGGATATGGTTGTGCCGCCGTGAATCTTGCGGCCGGCAAGGCCCTGGATGTCTTGTCAGCATGGCCATCCAACGCGAACGACGATTGTGCGTCTCACCATGCCCACCAGGTAAGAGATGTCTCTTCTCGAAACCTTAGTTGTGTCCTTGTCCTCGATCATGCGGACAATGTCCTGGGTCGAGGCGCCGACAGTGGGAACACCGTCAACAATGGCAATAATGGCGGGGATGCCGCCGTGGCTGCGAACAAGGTCGTCATGCTCACGAGCGAGATCCTTGCCCAGCGCGCCGTGGGTGTAAATGGTAGACTCGAGAGCAACGACGGGCTTGTTTAGCCGGACGGCATCGGCAACCTCGTCCGAGACGCGGAGGATGTCCCGCAGAGCAGCCGAGTTTTGCGGCGTAGAGGCCACTGTGCGCCGTTGACAACGCGACTGAAGACCATGGGAGGCGATCGCTGGAGTGATGAGCTGGCTAGAGAGGAGTCGGCAGCGGGTTGACGCGGCGCTGAGCCCGCTCCGGCGGAGGGGAGCAGCGAGCCCGGCGGCCTTCATCGTGGTGTGCCCGAGATGGTGAGATGCCCCGGTTCACCTGGTACGTTGAAGGGATGTTGTGTCTCAATTGGCGATGGGCTGATGAGAGCGTAACCAGGTCGGAGAAACCACAAGCCGTACGAGATTGTGCGGAGATGGTTCTTCTTAAGAATGGATCAGGGCCGTGGGTTGAAGAATTGAAGTTGGGGAGACGGCCCACTCGAGCTTCGGAGGGGCCCGTGGGCCGTCAAACGCCTAACTTAGCGCTGGCGTCGCGTGCGACTTGACCGGCGCCCCGGAGCGCCGTCCGTGTCACCCCCCGCCCGCCCTGTGCTACCTCCGGCTCGCCGACCGACCCGCCGCAGACACCTGGGAATAAGAAATGGAAGACGGTGCTATGCCGCATTCGCTCGCCGAGTTACTCTTCGCCGTGGGTCGGTCCATCAGGGGCGGTCTGGTGCGTCTGCCGCCGTGCATACATTTGACACATACTGGGACCGCCCAAAGCCTTGCCCGCCCAAGGACGGCACCTGTAGCTGAGATTAGTGCTTGCTTGGCCGGCACTACCTCAGCTGGACGGAAGTTTGTGTTTTCCGATTACAGTGGCTCGATCCGCCGTGAGGGGGCGGCTACAGCACCCGTTACGGCGAACTGGCCCAGCGCTGGAAGGCGCTCTCGGCGTGTGCCGCTCACACGGCGTGCGTCCCGTCAATCACGGCCAAATGCTGTGCGACTCCAGATTCGATGCCGTGCAGCAGCACTGATCGTGGAACCTCGTCTGCGGCCGGATCGGCTTGTGATTATCAGGGAAGAGCAGCGACTGCACTCATTCTGCCGTGCTTCAAATAAACGGACTAGAAAAAGAGGGCAGCCCCGTTCGAGTGACGTCTTGGCATATGGTCGCGCCGCTCCAGAGCACGCGTATGTTCCACGACAAAAGGTTCCGGCTGTGCTGCTGCGCCGCTCACGCGAAAGGGAAGGGACGTTGCCGTGCTCTCGTCAGCCTGCACTCCTCCGAGCATTCCAAACCTCGTCCCTCTACTAACCCAAAGCAGGCTCCACGATGACTTCAACTTAGAAACCACAACGCCCTCACTCACGGCCAATAGTCCCACAAGCTGCCCCCCAGCTGTCACGTCACGGCTCGGGGTGCTGCCCAAGTCCGTGCCGTGTGTGCTGCGGGCGGGCGCGCCGCCGCCACAGGGAGAAAACAGGCCGATTCTGGCAGTGTACCCCGGATTTCTGGCGCGTGCCCGGGGCCGCGGCGCAACGTTCTGGCGCCCTGGGCCAGCTTCCCCGCACGCCTGGCGCACCTTGGGGTAGCTCGACCTCGGCTCGCTCGACACGCACACACACACCATCCTGGACAATAGCCTGGATGCAGATGGCGGCGGCGGGTGGTGTGCTGGACGCGCCGCGCGCCCAGACAGAGGGGAGACTGACCTGATCCTGAGGGGGTGGTTTCGCTCGGCCGCCGGGCCAGATCTGCGCCGTCGAAACACTTTCTCCTGACGCGCAGCTCCCCTCATATACTTAATAGCCGATAGCTGCTCTACAAGGCAGTGTTGGCTCGCTGCCCTGACGGACGCAACGACGTGTGTCCGCGACCTGTCACCCCCAGACACCTCCTCACGATAGTGACGCAGGCATCGGCTGCAACCGCAACCGCCCACGACACGACACGCCACGATGCCCATGCACAACGGCTTCCTCCCGCGCGAGGGCTTCTGCGCCGACGTCGTCCTCAAGCTCGTCCGCCGCACGGCCCTCAACCCGGCCCTGCTGCTGCCCCTCGTCCTGCTCGCCCGCTACACCAAGCGCGGGCAGGACCTGTCCATCCTGCACCCGACCGCCGCCCGTCGCCTGCGCCTCCTGCTGTACTGGGCGCTGGCCCGCCGAGTGAGCGCCTGGCTGTCGGACCGCGTCCGCAACAACTGGACCGATGACCGCTACGTCTGGTCCCGCGAGATCGTCCTCGTGACGGGCGGCGCGGCGGGCATTGGCGGGTCCATGGTGCGCTTCTTGGAGGAGAAGGGCATCACCGTCGTGGTGCTGGACATTCAGCCCATGTCCTTTACTACTTGTATGTCCCTGCGTTGAACAGGGGATTGTCTGGAACGGTTCATTGCTGACCCTCCCGCAGCCAGCAGAGTGCATCACTTCCAGTGTGACATCCGCTCTCCTGAGAGCGTCAACGCCGTCGCCGACCGCATCCGCGCCCAGGTCGGCCACCCCACCGTCATCATCAACAATGCCGGTGTCGCGCGTGGCAAGACCCTTCTCGACGCCGAGCCCAGCGATGTGCGCTTCACGTTTGACGTCAACACCCTCGCTCACTACTGGATCACCAAGGCCTTCCTCCCCAACATGGTCGCTCGCAACCACGGCATGGTCGTTACCGTTTCATCCTTTGCCTCCTGGATCACCATCCCCAACATGATCGACTATGGCGCCTCCAAGGCCGCCGCTCTGGCCTTCCACGAGGGCCTCACGGCCGAGCTCACCACGCGCTACAACGCGCCCCGCGTCCGCACCGTCTCCGTGCACCCGGGCCACACCCGCACCGCCCTCTTCAAGGGCTTCCGCCAGGGTGCCGGCTTCCTCCTGCCGCAGCTAGAGCCCGACTCCATCGCCGAGGCCGTGGTCCGTCAGGTCCTAACCGGCCGCAGCGGCAACGTCATCCTCCCGGAGTTTGGAGGGTCGCTCTCGGCGCTCCGCGCCTACCCAGACTGGTACCAGCACCGCGCCAGGGCGAGAGCCCAAGGCAGCATGGCCAACTGGAGCGGCAGACAGGTGGTGAGCGACGTTTCGGCGCCGTTCGAGGGCAAGGAGAGCAGCCAGGGGCACGACACGAGCGAGAGTACCGTGCTGGTCTCCGGGGAGTGATCACAACACGAGTAGGCTGTGTGAAAGGATGCTTTGCTTGTTACCAGGTGGGTGTTTGTACAGTGATGCCGACAGTCGACAAGAGTCTGGCCAGCCGTTGTTAGAGCGATTGACGTTTCATGTACCAGCGTTCGTTACCAGGCTAGCTAAGGCAGTTGCCGAATAATGCGACGGGACGAGCATGTCTCAAGATGTTTCTTCTTCTAACCCTGAGCTGGTCGAGATAGGTCGGCGGCAACGACACAATCGGTCGTATTCGCAGTCAATGCGGTAGTCCACTGCCCATCTGGGCAGACATGAGCAGGGAGTTCGAATTCAGGGGGCACGGCTGCGACGACAGAGTGGGCCATGTCCACGCAATCCTCGCATGTGCGGTGGTCTGGCGCTCGTCGTCCATCCTTATCAGGTCCGGCATACCCGCACGCATGGGCTATCCCTGGGCGCAATCTGACGTGGCGAGTTAGTGCGTCGGTCTGCGCTCCGGAGGTCCACACGAAATATCGTGTTGAACCGTGATATCTCACGTTGTTGCGCTGCCCGCGTGCATCGACCCCTGAGGGTCGACTACATGGGCAATGCCTACGCCGTTCATATACCCTCGGGCTACGTCTTGAGTCTCGGGAGTGAACCGATTGCTCCAGATCCAACAACTCCATGGTCAAAAAGGCCCAAGAGAGCTGCTTGGCATGAGCTTGTCAGGGAAGGTCGAGCCGCGTTGCGCCGTGAGCACTCCAGCCAAATGAATTAAGACGACCTACAACCGCTCTTGTTGGCTTCTCAAGCATCGCCTCAGGCGACAAGTTCTGGTCAACACGCCCGTTTCCAATACGACGTGTACGGTGTAGAGACCCCCTCACGGAGAGCTGTCCGAGCTAGGGCGCCTCGCCGATTGTGGCATGTTGTTTGCCATGACAAGGTCATTCTGGACAGCTGCCGGATCCTGACGCGTGTATCCATGCATCCGCGCGCCCCGTACCAGTACATCTCTGTATAAATATATATATATATACTGCGCTACGAAGGATGACCTGCGTACTGTACGCTGCCCCATGTGCCATTGTCTTATTATTGAACAGCAGGTCCTTGATTGAAAGCACCAATGCACTGAAAGCGCTCTCTAAAACTCAGATACGTAGGGCCGAAGAAAGGGGGGGG